CCACAAAAAAACAAAAGAGAAAAAGTCCAAAGAGGAGAAATCGCTCTGAAAACGGTCAAGGGGTCCCATAGATGACCTAGGGCCGGCCTCTCCCTTCTCTCCCACGAGCTCCGCTTCGAGCTGTGGTATCCCCAACTGATATTGGATCATGGATCCATCATGGATAGTGGATCCTACCAATCGTGATGGGTCCCGCTCCGGTGGACCCTTCCTCCCCGTACCGCATCACCACCGCTACCGCTACCTATGGCTAGCCGTCAGCCAGTGCTGTCCTTGCTGGACCCAGCATGCGGAGCAGTCCGCTTATAGATCATTAGAGCAAGTCTTGGCAGCATCGAGATCTACAGATATGACTATTGTGCGAAAGTAGGGGAGGGAGGCAAGGCTAGATACCAAAGAAAAGAAAAGAGAAAACGAGGGAGAAGGATAGCCGTAAATGCGTAGTAAGTTTGAGCACTGGTATGTGGCTGCCCGATACAAGCCCAGTATTTGAACATGTGCTCACGCCGTGAGGTGAACGCACCGAAACCGAGCCATTCTCCCCAGGGTTACAAAGCTCAAAGTATTTTCGGTCCAAGTGAAAAAGTCCAAAAACAAAGGGGGAGGAAAGACAACTGTGTAATAATCAAATGCTCTCAGCTCCTTCCCAGGCCCCACGTCCGACGATGAGCTCCGTGTTAAAACTTCGAGTGTGTCGTCGGCGAGTAAGCAAGGGGCAAATGGTGGATGTGAGGTTGCCAATAGGAAAGAGCCGCACGCAAGGCATCTATGCATCCATGGCACCCGCACGCATGCATGTATCAATTCATCCTATGCTATGCAGGTCCCGGGGCGTTGGAGAGCCTTGCCGCCCCTCCCTCTCCAGCCTCATTTCCCTCGCTCGCAAATGCAGCCCCTCCCACACACACGCATTCTACACACACACACACACACACACTCACACACACTTGCACCGCTCATCTCGTTCTTGCAGTTGACGGGTAAATGTCTCGGATGGGCCCACTAGCCCTCGATTTCTCAACAACTCTCGAGACTGACTCTCCGGACTCGGAGGGCTGGTCAGCTAGTTTTCTTCCCTTTGTTCTCCAATCCTACACACATTCTCAATGCCCGTCCCTTTTGCACAGTTTTGTGGCCTCCTGAATCTTGAAGGTTTTCTGTGAGGAACGAACAAAAATTGAAGCTCCCGGGCTGCAGCAAGCAATGTGTTTCTCCAACCAAAAGTACATCAATTGTGGATGTCGCAGCAAGGCAGTATGGGACTCAGATAAGGTCAATATAAGAAGCACTGGTCAACCTGATGAATCGCCCAAGCTCGCCGGCCACCGCAGCAGCATACCCGCCTTGCCCGCCTTGCTATCCCTCCGGGCCATAGCTTTCAAAACTATTGCCTTTGCGCCAAGCACCGCACCGTGGCACCGTCTCCCCGTCCACCGTCGCCGCACCGCCGTGCGTTTGTACAAGTAGAATACGAACGGGGTCCATGCCTTTTTCTTTCTTTTTCCTTTTTTTTTTTTTCTTCTTCTTCTTCTTCCCTTTCATTCCTCCCTGGCAGGTGACTAAGTTTTGCCCTTGATTTCCCTTTTCATCCCCGTGTCCGGCAACCTGTAGCCCTTTGTTGCCCTGCTGTTCCCGAAACGCCAACCACCGACCGCCGCCAACGCCACTTGCCGTCCCCGCTGTTGCAGGCCCGCCGGCAAGTGATCAGGGGGCTAGTCCGTCAGTGCAGTGGCCTCATAAAACCTCGTCGTGGCTATCAAACCCGGCCGGGCCCGAACTGCGAGGGCGAGCTGATTGCAAGCGGCCATTATTCGCGCATCTGGCGTTTGTTGAGCGAGGAGGCTGACCCTGCAAGGCCCTTTTCAATGATGGGTGAAGCACAAGCTTGAGGCGAACTTTGGGGCCAAACGCACTAAAAATGCTTTCCGCCAAATATTGAAGTAAACCATTTGGTAGGGAGATCACAGACACTGATTGATCCATGATTGATTTTCAGGGGGTTTCTTTTTAGATTTTCATCTGATGGATCTATGCATGTGGTGGTAGATGTCTCTTATTGTGATTTGAAAGGGGCTCTTCTGTTCAATTCTTTTTGGACCACATACGTCCCCATCTTCGGCGATACTCCCATGTCCCAACCATACCCTTGTGAAAGGAGGGACGATGCCAGCTACTACAAGTTTAGACGAATGGAGCTGGTGCATAGATGAGTTGGGTCTTCGACGATCCGCCTAAGAAGATCGCCCTACCTTGTCAAGATGAGATAATAATGCCCATCATGGAGGGTGGATGGCAGCGAGGATGGGGGAAGTCGCATTTTAGACTTTGGAGAGACTCCTTCCTTCAAAGGAGAAAGAAAGGGTAAAACCCCGAAATGGTCCGATGCCTCCGTCGAATAGTCGTCAATATAAGCACGGTGGGAGGACAAGGCGAACTTTGGGGGAGGCGGAAAAAGAAAGAAAGAAAAACGAAGAAGAAAAGAAAAAGAGAAGTTAGCGATGGAGATGAGGCAAATGGCAATGGAAATTGCACGGACATCAAAGACCAAGTACCCCAGACGAGCTAGCCATCGAGGACTGTAACGTCTGTCTTTCCCCCAACAAGACCCATCCTGTTTTTCCGGAGGAAGGAGGGAGCTTTGCATATGTCAGTATCTGGTATCTGGTATTCTGTACATGTAGTTTCCTTCCACCATGAACGTCTCCCCTTCTCTGAGCCTCGAAAGGCAAAGAAACGGGGCTCACGCCAATCGATCTCTTGCATCCACTATTATAACCCGCCCCCACGCTCTGCACCCTCTTCTTATCCGGCATGTTGGGAGAGAGATGAAGAGATGATGAGAGAGAAATCAAGGAGTGTCTGCGCTCGAGCAACATTGCCATGGCCGACCTGACGGAGTAACCAACCGTAAAGCTTGAATTTAGCTTCGGCGCCAGCGAGTCAAGTCCTCCTTCCCGTCTCACCAGCGAAAGTGCATGCATTGCTCCCGACCTCGACCTGTTTTTATTCTCCGGTGCTCTTCGGGGTCGTCCATCACGCCTTTTCTTTCAGCCTTTTCCCGTCCCCTGTCTTCGGTTCTGAGGCATTTGTTCCTTTTCTCTTCTTCCTTTATAGAAATTATATATGGGACGTCGTGAAATCATAAGAGATCCAAGTTCCAAGTTCCGCTGGGATGCAAGAGAAGGGGGAGCAAACAAGGAGACAAGAAAGAGCTCGGATTGTTCTCTCCGTTCTCCCCTATTTTCGCTATCAATAGTTCGAACACGACCCCGGAAAGGGTTTAAGGTCAAGTAAGGGCCGGATGAGGCTAGGGTTGTTTGGCGATAGGGCGAGCCCTTGACCGGTTTAGGCCCCGGGCTCGGCCCCAGGCCGATCTCTCCATTGCATGGCAAGAGCAAAGGGCCAGAAAAGAGAAGAAAAAAGGGAAAAGGTGCAGCTGCTCTGTCCACTCTTTTTGACACGCTTAGGCCACGGATTTCATCAATGTACCTCTTGGATCTTTTCTCTTGGACTTTTTTTCTCTTTTTCCCTGGTGGCGGGATTTTGCCTTGGTGGATCGGTTCAAGAGAGAAGAAAAGAGCCGGTCCAAACTCTCTTTGCAAGAGTATAATCCGCCGCGGGGAGGTACTTGACATACGCGATCTAGGAATCCACCCAACGCCAATGTGCTGGAGGAAACGGAAAAGGCAACAAAAAAAAGACAAGATATGGGAGAGGCGCCTTTTAGGTTCATTTGGATCTTTGCCGAACTGAGCCTCGCAAAGTAAAGGGGATAAGGGAGGCCGAGGCCGAAAGAGCCCGCCGATGTGCGAATGTGCGCCATGAGCGTTGAGTTAGTTCTTGAGCCTCGATGATGTGAGCAGGCACACTCGAATTGCAAGTTTAATAAATAACAAAACCCACGGCCCCAGCGAGAACTTGTTCCTCTTAAGCTTTCCCCCTCTCTTCCCCTAACCTTACTTTTTCTTTCTCTCTTCTTTTTTTCTTCCTTTTTTCTTTTCTTTTCCAATCCTTCTTTCTTTCCGTCCTCTCCTCGTGACTGACTTGTCTCTGGATCATCCTAGCCGTGTTAGCTGGCAATTATCACGCACTCACCTTCCTAACATCATCCTATATCACCCCAACTCCGCTCTCCGTGCTCCTTTGCCAACGTCCCCGTTTCCTCCTTTCTTTTTGTAGTTGGGATTAAAAAGAGAGGAAGAAAGTGCTTGAAGAGAGAAAAAAAAAAGCCCTGAGAGGTTCAAGTAAGAGGGTGGGAAGCAAAACACAACCAGCCGAGAAGTTATGTCATCTACGACAAGACACCAGTAACACCTTGCAAACCCCCGGCTCCTCGCTATCACCACTACTACTACGGACACGCCGAAATCGTCTCGGAGGAACATCAGGTACTCGCCGTGCACACGCCACGCACCCGGTTTATCAGGCAAGCGCAACCGCGGCGCCTTCACTACACGTTCAGGTTAAGCACCGCACGAAGAGAGAAAGAAGAAAGAAGAAGAAGGGAAACCCACCACGAATACAAAAAAAACAACCGAGTGTCTCTGACATTCAGCTGAAGGAAGACGAATAAGCGAGTTAGCCCTTAACAAGACGAGCCGTTGAGAGAGGCGCGAGACAGTGGCATAGAGAAGAGAAACACGCTCAAAGAGAGACAAAAACGGCGAGGTTCAACATTTACTTCCCCCACCAACCAGTGCTCTCCTAAAAGAGAGTGAGTAAAGGAACAAGGGGAACAAAAGAGAGAGAAGGAGCAGGTCGTGAGCATAACAATACATCAAAAAAGAAACAGAAAGAAATCAGGCACACACGTGGTTTTTTGAGGGTCACCTCTTTCTCTTGTTTCTCCTCTTATCTCTCTCTCTCTCTCTCTCTTCTTTTCTCCTTTTCGAACCCACCATGACCTCTAAAGTCGCTTCTCTCCTCGCCTACCACCCTACCCTCCACCCATCCGAAGGCCACAGATTCACTTCTTCTAAAAGCATCACAAGACCGGCAACATGGCCGCGACTGCTGCCGCGAAGCGGCCCTTTGACCCCGAGGACTTGACTCAGCGTCTCATGGAGGTCATGGCCGAGCGAGAGGCTGACGAGGCAGCCCGCCAGAGGGCCCGCCATGTCATCGTGTTTAGCCCTCCCCAACAGCAGCCGCCCGCGCCTTCCGCCACCTCATCCTCCTCCCTCACCTTCGACATGGCTGGCAGCAACAGCGTCAACGTCGAGAGCAACCCCCGCCAGCTCCCCGACCTTATCGAGTCCGAAGAGCCCGAGACCTCGGACGACAATAACTCTACCAAGACCAAGGAACCAGGAAACGACAATGCCTCTTCCTCCTCGGGGGATCCAATTCCAGCTGCAGTCCCATCGCGGGCACTGATACCGGCACCAACGAGAATTTAAAACATTCACAAGGATTCGCGGCAGCCCGCGCGAGAAAAGCTCGTTCCCTACAAATCGGATCCGGCTTCGAAAACTTTACGTGGGACCCGAAGCCCCGTACCGGCAAGGACTCTTCCGCTGTAGCTACCGCCGTCGCCGCTGCCACCACCGCCGCTGCCGCTGGGGCGCTGCGCCCCCACCCTCCGCATTGACACCGACACGATTGGGCCCTTGCACTCCGAGGCCCTCCGGTCCCCTCGTTCCTCGGCACAGGTACAGGCTCCTCGCGCCGCGCATCCGTCAACGTGGCGAGCATCTCCCACATCAAGAGCCCCGCCTCCCGCACCGGCGCCACCTCGTCCAAGCGCGCCTCGACCGACTTCCACTACGTGCCTCAACACGCCGCCGCCCAGTTTGCCGCCACCGCTACGCCGAGCAGCATGCTCAAGGACCCCGCCGCCCGCGAGCAGTCACGCCGCGCCTCCATGCAGGTCCTCTGCGAGCCCGAGCAGCCAGCCCAACCGACGAGCACACTCAACTCCAGGCGCCGCTCCTCGGCCTGGGCCTCGCAGGGGGCTGGGACGGTGTCCAGGAACCCACCATTTTCGAATCCACGCCCATCGCGGCCGGAGGTTCCGGCGCCACGGGTGTCTCCTGGACGAATCAATCCGCCGAAGCCAAGAAACTGTATAGGCGGACCATGATGGAGGCCCCTCCCCGACGCATGTCGGCGCAGGATGCTCCCTATCTAGCCGTCGCATGAGCGCCGGCGACCTCTTTGATGCGAGGGCCAACCCAAGAGCTGGCGTGGAGACGGAGCTCCCCATCGGGGAGTCGCAAAAGCCTAGCAAGCGTACCTCTTCGGGCCTCAACTATTTCGAGGTCCTCAAGGACCACCAAGTCGACTGGACGCAGGCCGACGAGGGCGTGGCCAAGGAGCGCAGGTCGAGCAGGTTTTTGCGCAAGCTAGGCCTCGGCCGCAAGTACTCGCACGACCACAGCGAAGACGGCTCTGAGGAGGCAAGCGAGGCCAGCCGCACAGGCTCGGCGACTCTAGCAGCCCCCGACGGCGCAATCTCGCCGCTCAAGTCGCCCAAGTCGCCGCGCTTCAAGGCCTTGTGGCGATTTCGGAGCTCTCACGCAAAAGAGGATTAGAAGTTTGACGGTGTGACATGCGGTTCCCCGTTTTCTTGGGAGCGTCGAGTGAGAAGGAGAGGAGTCCTACTGCCGAGAGGACATACATATATACATATTATACAAGGGAAAGGCTAGCCGAAACGCCACAGCCTGCCAATTAGGAAGGGAAAAGAAAAAAGGATGCAGAAATCGTGCTGTGTCTCAATCTTTGGACTGGCGCGTCTCCGCGGCTACAAAGCTTCTGAGCAGCGCATTGTCTTGGTCCGCTAGGTGCCTCTGCATGGCGTTTCGGGCACCGTCGTCCCCGCCGGCCAACAGGTGCAGGACAAGCTCCTGATACTCGCGCACGGCCTCGCCCTCTTCGCCGTCGGCGTTCCTCGCGCGTTTGAGGGCCTCTGTGCCCTTTTTAGCCCGCCGCCCGGCTCCAAATCTCTTTATCAAGGCGCCGGCTCTCGGAAGGCCGGGCGCCGGGGAACGCTGCCGGGCCGGTGGACGTGGGGGTTGGGTGGCGGCGTGGATGGCAAGGAGCTGGTCAGGGAGGTGGGGGTATTTCTGGAAGAGCATTTGCAATTTCGGCGACGACGCGAGTGTGTTGAACGGATTCGCGGGCTCGGATTTCGCCGCGGGCGTTGGGTTGGCGTTTACGGCTTCGGAATGGGGTTTGGGTTCGGGTTCGGGATCGGGTGGGTGATTTTCTTTGTGAATTTTGTTGCATGCTACCGAACAGCTGTAGCCAGCGTAGTAAAACAAGAGAGATTATGGTTAGCGAACCGAATCAAAGTGGCTGCGGCCGTCCTCCTACTTCAAAGAAGAAGAAAGACTTTTTTTCTTTCTTTAACTCACTATGGCATCCGACATCGGGGGCACTTATACTTGCCCGGATTGACGTTGCAGACTTCGCATATGCTCGACTTTGCGGGTTTGGGGTTTGACGACTCGGTCGACTCGAGCTGCTCGGAAGAAGTGGCAGGATCGGCTGCTGGCGCGCTGGGATCGAGCGGTACGTCAACCGACGTGTCGCCAGGTTCTGCCACGGGTTGCGAGGCGTGATCGGCCATGTCGAAGAGTTTCGCGCCGCGGTCTTAAGTAAGGGTGGAACGAAATAGTCGAGGAGTTGAATTTTATTCGGTCGCGTTGCAAGGCGGTGTGAAGGAGTGGGCTAGTAGGAGAAATGTGATGTTTTTTCTCACGGGGTTCTAATTTCTCTTCTTTACCTCTGCTCTTGTTCGTGGGGGTTGAGGAGACTAGAAGTTTTGCGACCTTCACATGCTGAAGCCATGTTCATTTTATTTGATTTGGCAGGATTAGGCAGGGTCCCCTCCTTTGCTCCTGCTCAAAAAAAAAAAAAAAAGATTCAACCTTTAGAATGTGTGGAAATAATTGGTTAATACTGTGTGCTCAAAGGTATAGAAAGCTGACCGCTTTCCTTTTCCGGAAGGACATTTTTCTTTGATGGCTGTTGAAAGCACAGACCCAAGTACTTGAGCAATGCCATGAATGATGAATGGGTGGACTTGGAGTGTTGCGTCATTAATAACAAGATTTGGCGCTGGACGGCATTATTCCACTCCCAGAGACGAATACACTTCATTCATTGGAAAGCTCCATCCTTTCTCGACTAGCGGAGTCATTTTCCCTCGTCGCAGGCCCAACCCACTGACTAATGGCCAATCAGGGCCCTTGGAATTACTAATTCCACTGGCTCCCTCGGAACACCTCTAAAAAGAAACAAAAGCTCGCCTGTGCTCGGTCCAAGTCGGCGTATCCAAGCCGCCAGCATCATTTTAAGCCTCCTTTGGAATCGAACGGAAATCCAGCCAGACTCTCGCCACAAAACTTTTTCTTTCCCTTCACCTCCTCGGAGATCCGTTCCAACAAAGAAGCCCAGACATAGTTCCTCCCCTGGACCAAATCGGATCCTGCGGAATTTATTTGTTTTTCCTCTTTGCAACCTTGACTCAACGGAACGAACATGACCATATAAATTCCCTTTATTGATTTTTCAAAATTTCAACCTCCCAACTTAATCTGCGACGGCCCCCAAGTGCACGCCACCTACCCACTCATCACCTACCCATTTCCAGTTAAAGCCCTTCTCACAAACCATGGCTTCGCGAACAAACCCCCGATCCGCCCTGAGCCTCCTGGCCAGGAGAACCCGAATCGTCCAGACGCCAGCGACCTCGGCCACGGCCGCCCGCAACGCCGCGCGACAGCTCCCCACGCCCGTGCGATACCTTTCCACGGCGACACTCAGATCCCGGTCCTCGGCGCGGACGACATCGACTCGTCCCATCGCCTTCGCGGCGCCCGGCGCGCCGCTCGCCCCGCGCGGTGCCCGCACAATTTTTATCCAGACCGAAGCGACGCCCAACGCCGACGCCGTCAAGTTCGTCCCGAACCACCGCGTGATCCCCGAAACCATCACGGTGCCCTACATAGAATACCTCAACCCGCGCTCCACCATTTCGCCCCCGTACCCGTCCCCGCTCGCGGCGAACCTCATGAACGTCGAGGGCGTCACCTCGGTCTTTTACGGCACAGACTTCATCACCGTGACCAAGAACCCTGACGCGAACTGGGCTCATATCCGTCCCGAAGTGTTTGCGCTCATCACCGAGGCTGTTACCTCGGGCCAGACCCTCGTCACCGCCGCTGAGGGCAAGGAGGGCCACCCTGTCGAGGAGGACAGTCTCGCCTACGACGAAAATGATAGCGAGGTTGTGGGTATGATCAAGGAGCTTTTGGATACCAGGATACGGCCTGCCATCCAGGAGGACGGCGGCGATATCGAGTTCCGCGGCTTCGAAGATGGCTACGTGCTCCTCAAGCTGCGCGGCGCCTGCAGGACGTGCGACTCGAGCACTGTCACTCTCAAGAATGGCATCGAGGGTATGCTGATGCACTATGTAAGTTTGGAGAAAGAAAAAACCGACCATGCAACATTGAAACTAGGCCACCATTTTTTCTAACGAGTTTCTCAACAGATCGAAGAGGTCAAGGGTGTACACCAGATGCTAGACCCTGAAGAGGAGATTGCCGTTCAGGAGTTTGCCAAGTTCGAGGAGAAGCTCAAGCAACAGCGAGGAAGGGAGGCGTGAGCCAAAGCAAGACAAACAAAAAATAACAGCAAAAGAGAACCTGAAGAAGCTGCATATATACGGTTTGATCTGAGCCGTCCTTTTCCCCCTTCGCCGTAGACCCTCCCCGCCGATAAAGCCGGGGCGAGGCCGGCGAAATGTCATCATGACAAACACTTCCCAATCATATTTGTATCGATACCCACGGATAGAAGCTCAGAAACAGAAACTAGAAGGAGCATATTAGGATCGGAAGCCCCCAGTGAAGAAGAGGAATGGGCCTTCTTCTGTTCGGGGGCTGTAGATAGAAGGGCTTGTTCTGGAAACCTTGAGAATTGTACTATATTGAACCACTTTTTACTCTCCATCACCTTCATCAATTGATCTGTAACTGTAGCCGCGGGCTTTATGCTAGTTCATTATATGTGCTGCACGTCCTCTGCCAAACATCATCGAACTTTCAAACGCCTAAAGCCTGGAAATGGCACCGTCTCGGTACTTACCGCCAGACTACGTCTCTCTCTTACCACTTTTTATTTTATTTTTTCCCTTGAGACTTTTTGTACGATATATGTTCACAAGTGATCAATGACACCCGAGGTACGTAATTGGCCTGGAATTCTCAACCGTTGAATGGTCCCCCGCTGCCTCACCCACCCCCGATCGTCCGGGATCCGCGCTCCATGCCAGTCATTATCACGTTCCCCACCTCGCCGAATCCGGAGCCGTACGACGTCACTTCTTTTTCAAGGTGGTACGAATTTTGATTGTTGCCCTCTTTTAATCCTCCTTTATTAGGGGAAGGCTGCAAGAATGGGCTCAACTAAAACGTATGCCATCAACAAAAGAGAATGGCACAATGGAACCCGAAAAAAGAAACCAAGAGAAAGAACGAAATCCCACATGTGCAGACCAGAATAAACTGCGCAGGCTCATTCGGGTAAATGCCACAACCGCGGACGCCGTTTGTCCCGGCGCGGGGCCAGCTCATTTAACGAGCCATTGAATACCACACTCTTGCCCGGGTAAGGGTAAGATGAAGAAGAAAAGAGACACAGAAGCTACTTGTATTGGAACCATAGTGCAGCGAGGGGGCGTCCTTTGATCCCCCGGTCTTGCCCCTCCGTACCCCCGGTGAGGGTTGGAACTCCAATTTTCTGGGGAGTCTGAGCTGCAGGTCCATACTCGCCGGCCGGGAAAGGCAATATGTAATTACTCGTTTCCCTTGGGACGGGCCGCGGAGGAGAACGAGAACGAATTGGGGGAACAAGGCCTTAGCCGCGTTGTCTATGAATCGGGTATATGGAGAAGAGAGAGTTACCACGCCTCATTCTACTTTGCGCGAGTCTCCCCCATTCCGCGAACCCAACTAGAAAAGTCGTCCCCCCCCAAGATCTCCAAGCAAGCCCCCGGTGTTGTCACCCACCCGGTCTCTCGAAGGGAAAACGAGTAACAATCGCAACCGAAACTCCGTGATCATGAAGCCTCTCTTGTTCGCCTGCTTCGCCGCCTCGGCCTCGGCCGCCATCGACAGGCTGGCCGTCGTTCGCGCCTTCAACCCCGAGCGGACCGCGAGCTCCGACGAGACCCCTCTGCAGGTCGGCAACGGCAACTTCGCCTTTGGCGCCGACATTACCGGCCTCCAGACCTTTAAGCCCTTTGCGAGCATGTCGACGTGGGCATGGCACAGCTTTGCCCTTCCCAAGGCCGAGAACCAGACCTCGCCCGAAGGTAAGGCTTTTCCTACGTTTTAGATTCCCTTCGCTTTCCCTGTTCTTGCCTCCGCCCTCTCTCTCTCTCTTTGTGTAGGGAAAAGGAAAAAGGCCAGACATATAAGCTTGGTGCACATCGAGTTAACCAGTATCTTGCGCTCTCGCCTGTTTTTACACAGATTTCAGAGGTGTCGAGTGGGACACCCACGGCCGGCCCGTCGCCTATAACCAGCCCAACGAGGAACAGCCTGAACTCTCCAATTGGCTCCGCGAGAACCCCCACCGCCTCAACCTGGGTACCCTAGGTTTCGCGTTTAGCGAAGACGCCGTCACCGAGGATGACCTCGCCTCCAAAAGCCAGACCCTCGACCTCTGACCGGCGTCATCACCTCCTCCTTCGAGTACAAAGACACGCCCGTGACCGTGCAGACCATTGCCGATCCCAACTCCGACACCATCGCCGTCACCATCGACTCGACCTCCTGGCCTCCGGCGACCTCTTCCTCTTCCTCGACTTCCCCTACCCGACCAAGGACAAGTTCAATGCCCCCTTTGTCGGCGTCTACAACCAAACCGACCTTCACAGCACCGACCTCGTCGAGTCCTCTGACAGCGCTGCCGAGGTCCGCCACACCCTCGACGAGGCCGAGTACAGCGTCTTCCTCCGCTGGGAGGGGAACGCCACCGTCTCCGCGCCGGAGGACGGATCGCACAGGTACTTCCTCCGCACCGAAGGCGGCGGCAGCGGCAGCGTGCTCAAGTTGACCGTCACGTTCGCGGAGCGCGACGTCTTTGCGGAGAGCGTGCCCCCTTCCGTCATCAATATCGCCGAGGAGGCCGAGATATGGTGGGGAAATTTCTGGCAGGGCGGTGCCTTTGTCGACTTGACCGCCACAGACGCGGAAGATGCGTGGGAACTGCAGAAGAGGGTTGTTTTGTCGCAATACCTCATTGCTGTGAACTCGGCTTCTGACCTGCCCCCTCAAGGTTTGTCTAGTGCCCTCCCCTCTCCATCTTCACTTTCAACAGTCTGCTAACTTCTTGTCCAGAATCCGGTAAGCGCCAAGTAAACGGCATAGTGGCTCTGGGGCCCCGTCCTACCGCCGAAAACTAACACTGCATCTCCGTTCAGGTCTCGTCAACAACGGTTGGTTCGGCAAGTTCCACGTAAGTCGCCTTCCTCCGCTCTCAGTCCCGCCTATCCCTCCATCACCGCAGTACCTACGCCGTCCCCCTGGCCCGGCGCGAGTTTACGCCACCAACTGACAAACGGGGCGAGGCATCGCAACCCCTCGGACACAGATGGAAATGTACCTCTGGCACGCCCTCCCCTTCGCCCTCTGGGATCACTGGTCCCTCCTCAACCGCTCCCTCTCCCATATCTACCCCGACCTCCTCCAGCACGCCCTAGACCGCGCCTCCGCCCAGGGCTACGACGGCGCCCGCTGGGGCAAGATGACGGGGCCCGACTTCAACGACGCCCCCGGCGAGATCAACTCCTCCTCATCTGGCAGCAGCCCCACCCCATGTACTTTGCCGAACTCGAGCGCCGCCGCGCCGCCGCCGTCTCTCCCGAGGAGGAGGCCGTCGTGCTCGCCAAGTGGGACGACATCCTCTCCATCACCGCCGACTTCATGGCCTCCTTTGCGTGGTGGAACGAAACCTCCGAGTTCTACGACCTCGGCGCCCCCATGTATCCCGCCTCCGAGAACACCGACCCGAAAGTCACCCGAAACCCCACCTTTGAGCTCGCCTACTGGCGCTTCGGCCTCGACATCGCCATCCAGTGGAAGGAGCACCTCGCCGTCCCCGCCCCCGACGAGTGGATCGACGTCCGCGACTTTCTCGCGCCCCTCCCCATCGTCGACGGCACGTTCCCCGTCTACGAGGGCATCCCCGACATGTGGGTCTCCAACGCCACGACCATGGACCACCCCTCCATGACCGCCATCTACGGCCTCCTGCCCTCCCGCCTCGGGCGCCGAGCTCGATCTCGACGCCGTACGCCGTACCGCCGAGCACATCAAAGAGTTTTGGGACCTCGATCAGTCCTTTGGCTGGGACTTTCCCATGCTCGCCATGAACAGCTTGCGGCTCGGCGAGGTCGCCGATGCCGTCGAATATCTCCTGCACCCTACCTTTGCCTTTGACGACGCCGGCTATCCCATCGGCGGCACGCGTGTGCCTACCCCTTACTTTCCTAGTTCGAGCTCGCTCCTCGTCGCCGTCGCCATGATGGCGGGAGGCTGGGAGGGTGCGGAGGGCCCCATTTCCCCGAAGCGTGGGAAGCAGTCGCTGCAGGGTTTGGCCCTACTTTGTGAGGCGTGAAGTCGGGGGTGGCCATGGACGGGGACAAGCTGCGTTTAGTGCTCCGAATAGTAGTTCCTCTGAATACACCATCTAGCTTCCGTTCGAGAGCCACCCCAAAAGAGTCTTGCCAAATGGGACCATCCGGGAGCACAACCCGTCCTAGGACCCAATACACACATCCCACATCCTTTGCTAGCACGACCACAATTTTGCCTGGAGACATTGAGGCACTTGAGGCCAAGATAGGGAGTGAGGGCACCCAAAAAAGTATCTATAACACGATGCGCTCAAAGAGGGAGAAAAAAAAAAAAAAAAAAAAAGTCGTAAAGTCCGGTAATGCTCAGATCTCATAAAAACCCTCCGCTCCCCGTTGCTTTTGGAAATCCGACAATAAGGAACAAGGGCATTTCACAATATTCTGCCCCCGCGGGCCGGAGGGGTTTTACAGCTCCCCTCCTATCCCAGCTAGCCCCTCTTTCTCTTGTAAAGGAAGATCTGATAGACAGACTCCCGTACGTCCTCTTGTCCCTGTTTCACGCCCCCAACCCCGCAAAGGCGAAAAGGAGCATCATCTTAAAGCAGGATGTCACCCATGTGCTCACCCTCGAAGCCAATCTTGTTCAGCTTCCCGATCCTGACCTTACTCTTGGCCTTCTCCGCCTCCTTCTTCTCCTTGGCCAACTTTTGCACGAGCTCCACCTCCGCCAAGTCATACCCGGCCGGGGGCTCATCGTCCTTGTCCAAGTCGATCTCGCCCAGAAGAAGCACGTTTTCGCCGCGTACTAAGAATATTCCTCGCGGGATGTCGGCGTACAGACCCTCGCGTCGGGCAGCACCGTACCGTCCTCCTGGAGGGGCGGCGCCACGAAGACGCGCTCGATTGTGGATTGTAGGACAAGATTGGCTATTCAAGACCACGGGGCGATAGAAAGACCAGCCGAAGTAGGTTAGAGAGGGCACCGTAGATCACTCAGGATATGAAGAGGGCCAAGTGGCAGAAAAAGGGACGGCTAGAGGGGTTCGGCTGAGAACTCACCAAACTGATCCCAGCTTCGCAGCACGCCAATGAGCTTCCTCCCGTCTCGTAATGCAACCATCAACTTTTCTGCACAAGTGTTAATGAAAAAAGAAAATGTTCAGCCCCCCTTCTTCCACGTTCCTTGTTCCTCGCTCTCAGACGGCCATCCCCTCCGGGACTGTGCCTCGCCCTGTGTCTTCAACTCCGGACTTCGCCCGGTCCATGGTGCGGGTTATTCCTTACTGTCGGTGAGGTCCAGGAGCTGCGCTGCCGTTGTGAACATCTGAGGCGGCAGCTGCTGCGGCGCAGGCGCTCCTGGTATGGCGCCCGCTACGCCTCCCGCCGGCGCCGGCGCCCTCCACCACGGGGGCCGGAATCGGAGATTGTCAAGTTTTCCATCGTGTCATGAGTTTTCGGGGCGGCGAATGGGCTTGGTCTTTCGTCTTTCTTGTCGCCTAGATAATTCCTCGGGAAAAGGTGTTAGATTGATATGGTGGGGCAGGCGCGCGTGGGTGTGGCGGGGAGGGGAAGCTAGGTGAGAGGGCAAGACAGAGAGGGGACGGAGGGACAGAGGGACAGAGGGAGAGAGAAAAAGACAGAGGGGTAAGAGAAGGAAGGGTGAACTGCGTGAACATGCGGGGCCGGGAATCAAAGCTTCCTCGGAAGCTTAGCCTTTGACCGGGCCTGCGTTGGAGACTCGCGCGGTCGACAGGGTAGAAGAGGGCTCAGCGAGGGACGAAGGTTACCTTGGGAATTTCAAGAATGCTGTCCGAGAACAGTATCCTTTTACACCGCCAAAAGAGTAGGCCCTTTTCAAAACCGCACAAGAGAATACAAAGAAGAAGAAGAAGAAGACACAAAGGGTCCGGGATGTCTTGGGCTTCGTCGTCCCGTCTTTCCCCCAAACTTGACTCTTCGAGCTCTTCGGGATTTCCGTGGTAGAACAGAAGCAGCAGATGTGGGAGTTTGAAGCCCATCACGTGGTTTCGCACCCACCAGCAAATGCCCCGGTCCGTCACCAGCTGTGGGGGCTGCAGTTCCGGCGGCTCGCTTAGTTTACCCACGTCACTTCGAGATAGCTCCCAACGCATCAATTGTTCAGAGTGCGAAGGGGGTAGATTTGGCATATATATCGCGATTTCAAGAGGCTCATGCCCTGAGGCTGCTCTTCAATATTTATACGTACTCCTAGGGCTGCGTTTCTTACACTTTCCACAAAGAAGAGTTGAGGCATTGCTTCGTTTTACGGAAACCGAGAAACAGTACCGAGCCAGCGCAACTTGCCTTCCTTGCGTCCGCCCCTCGTGGACTCGAGTCCACACACACAAAGGCATCGGTCATCTACTCTATATATGCAAATACATTGGGCTACGAAATTTACCGGGATACAACCTCATCTTGTGTTGATTGATGCTCGTGAAGAGAATAAAGAAAACCCAGGGGTAGGCAAGGCGGCGTGTCTTGTCCCTCCTCCAGTCCAGATGCTTCAAGATTGTGACAGGCAGACATACCCATACACGGCGGTAGGAGATGGAGGCACACTGGCTCTAAGGATAAAAGGAAACAGAGAAAAACAGGGAATAGAATGGACATCGGATCCTTCATTGTCCATCATAAAGAACACAGCGTGGCTAGGGAAAACAGAGAATGACGAGACAGCAGCACTCTGGAATCACGCGGTGCCGAGCCCTTCATCCGGGGCCTCGCCAGCGGCTGCTTTGGTGATTCGTTGAATTGTCACAGCTTAAACGTTCGTCACCGGGTCTACTCTTGTATAGCACCCTGTTGGTCTCCTTCGATCTCATTTTCCTCTATGACCTTGCTCTAATCCCAGACCTTGTTTTCTACTCTCTTTCTTACCGCCCCTTGCTAGACCCTGCCGCACCAAGAGGCTAGGGCCCAGCACCGGAACGGCCAAAGGTTAGAAGAGGGGGTCTGGGAATAATAAAAATAGTCTATGTCAAAAGACAAACTGCCAACAACGCCGGGGTAGAAATGCAGATATATATGCCGCTCTTGGTGATAATTTAGGAAACCCGTAGTCGCCTTGGTCCATGCAAAAGTCTGCCGGCCTCGCAGAGCTCAAGAGAGTAGCCCGTCTCCCATTTTGACTTTCGAAAAATGAAGCCGGAACGAACGGAGAATACCGTACCGGCGACTGGTGGTGATTAAGGTGGATTCGAGAATACCATTAAACACTGGCGAGAAAGAAAGTATATGCTGGAGTTCGAAATTGAGGTCTAGAGCTTCTGCGGTAGCTCAAAGGGCGCCGGTATAACCAAACATTCCAGAATTAGAGACATGTGCATTTCCACGAGAGCCCTCATAGGGGCTACGAGAAAGGGTGGATGTCTATGGAGACGAAGAGGGGGAGGAGTAAGGAAATGCGGAATCATAAGGGCGCGTGCTTAGGGTGTCGACCGCCAAAGTGAGAGGGTGATGTGGATCCGGGTGCACGTGGTGCGTCGTTGAAATCGTGGGTGGAAGCGGCGGCGATCGGAATAAGGTATAGATAGACCTAGCGGCCTAGGTGTCTCCTCTTTTCTCGCTTTCTTTCTTTCTCGATCCCTCCACTCTTGCGCTGTTTCCCTCTCCCTTGTTCCTCCTCTTCCTTCCATCCGCCTTCCCGTATTCACGCCCCCTTTTGGTAATAAAGAGCTATCAGTGGCGCTTCATGGTTGACCGTTCAAGGGCCTCCTGAAGCTCAGGTCTCGTGGAAAGTGCTTCCTTGGCTTGCTTAAAGGTGAACCACTGGCGTTCCCGCTTATGCCTCTCGGGCCAATCGGTCTCTTCCCTCGTGACGGTGGCTTCGTAGAATCGATACAGAGCTTTGGAGCCGTCCTTGGAGCTGTTTTTCGAAGGTTTGGGGGCCGAGACTCGGTGATGTCACCGAGATCGTAGTCGATACGAACGATGATTCCCGCCTCCTCCCAGGCTTCGCGCTCGGCGGCCTCCGTGCATTCCTCATCCGACTCCCAGCCACCCTTGGGAAGCACCCAGCCTTTCCTCCTCGCAGACTGGATGAGGAGGACGTACTTGCGATCCTCGGTAAGTGGTACAACACCAGCGACAAGCCTCTCCCCTTTGAGTTGTAGCCTGTGATAAAGAATGTCAGCCCTACTCTTAACGATCCCTTGGTGAGTGCGGTTGCTCCTCCTTCCCAACCGATATTTTGTTCCAGCCTCACGTGTGAGCGAGGAAGATGCCACACAGCCAAACCGTGCAGGGCGGAGTGATCACCACACCCAGGGAGGATATTGGGGCGGGGAGGAAACACGTACGCTGCTTGGATCTTCCCGTTCGGGACTCCATAGTCCGGCTACTTGTCGCAGTAGCCATTTCAGCAGCTAAAACCGGCATCGGGATCACACAGGACCCAGCAGTTCAGTCACGCTCAGAAGCCGGTTGGTGTTAGGTTGCGCACGCAGCGGTGAAGAGATCGTGCCAAAGCGGATAGGCGGACACGGTTAGTTCGATCTGGGCAAAACCGACGAGATCTCGGGTTGCTTTCGAAGCAGGAGAAGAAGGGAGAGAGATGCGAAGAAAGAAAAGAAGTGAAAAAAGAAAGAGAGGGGAGCGCTGTATCTCGGGCAGGGAAGCTGGGGTTAAGAGTTATTGGGCTCCATGGTTGCGTCCTTGATACCGTGGATGTTTGGTAGGTCTGGAGGTGGAGAGGAAGTAAAGAAGTCAATCGAAAAGGAAACTCCCGATCCCTCCAAGATGGAAAGAACCAGAAGACGGCGACGAGTTTGATTTTGTGAGGGTTTGAGGACGGTTTGACGAATGTCAAGCACACAAAAGGGCCTGCGACTTCCGGTGAGGGAGGAGAGCTGGGTAGCTGGGACGCAAGGGGAAAAAAAATTATAGGTGCGGGTGCCACTCAATGGAGGGGCACTTGAAGAGAGATCTGAATGAATAAGGGGAAAGAGCAAAGGGTAATAGTGGGGGCGAGAGGAAGACAGGCGAGACTGGAACAACGATGTGTTCTTCAGGCTGGCACTGTACTTGACGGTACCTGGGAACGGACGTCTCGGGGGATTCGGTTCACCCAGAAAATCGGTACTAAGCCAAGTCCAGTAATGGCCACGGAAGCCGCCGTACAGTACGGGAACTGTTCGAAGGAAGTTTAGTAGTATTGATTTCGATGGGGCGGTGGCACGGGCTGGCACCAAAGCGAGACGGCGGTCCAGGGTTGATTTGGTTTTTTTTCCTCTGGTCTTTTTGGAAGGGGAGCTGAATTATATTGGATGAAGGTGACAGGGACCCCCAAACACAACTTTTGGATTGATCGTGGTCAAGGTCGTGGACGGTAGGTATATATATATTTGGTGATTGAGGCAAAGGCGAATGCCCCCTTTTCCTTTTGATTCTTCTTTTTGCTTCTTCTTCTTTCTTCTTCTTCACTTTCCACGACACGTCAAAGTTGGTTTCTATTGGTATTTTGAGGAGAATGAGGCCGGTGGTGAAGGGTGTTGAGCTCGATGTCTTTCCAAGATTGGTGTCTGCTCAAAGGGGAAGGGGGTCGATGTGGTGGCGGTAAGCGTCCAGGACAAGCCAGCACCTATGATTCAATCGACGCAGTGATGGGTCTCGCCGGCACAGCAGCACAAGCAGCCCAAAGTTAGGCGGTTCGCAGTCAAGTGGATAGAGACGGTCAGCCAGCCAGAGCGGTCAAGCCTAGGAGGGGCAAAAAATAAAAGAAAACCAAAGAGGAATGGCAAAAGGATTGGGAGAGAAAAACAAGGCGGCGGCAAAAAGCAGTCTCAGTCTCCAACGCGGGCTTGAGAGGGTCAAACACAGGGCGAAATTGCCAGCAGAACAACTTGGCTTGGGACCCTAGTTCGTCGTGTGCCCGAAAAAAAGAACAAGTAAAAAGAAAGAAAAGAGAGAGCTCGGAGACGGCAGGTGCTAGCGTGACACTTGCTGACCTGGGCAGCGCTCCTCTAGTTTGATTTTCTTCCCTGGCCCCCTCTCCTGGAGATTATTTGCCGTAGGTCCGGATCCGGAAACTGGCGCAGCGAAGTGACTCCGCCAATAATGAAGGGATCGAAAGGATGAAATCAACCTGTTGTAGGACGTCTTATGTGAAGAGGAAAATAACGTCACGTTTAGGAAGGGACAGGGTAAGATTAAAACAGATAATTTTATGGGCGGAAGGAAGGGTGGGGAGGGCAAGAGGGGTGTCGAGATGAATAAAGATCGTGACTCAATACTCGCAGCGTACACTCGAAACGAACTATAGCCCTCAACAACAAGCGAGCGATGAGTAGTAATGACGAGATCGTGTCCAGAGATATGGTTTACATCAAGATGAGGAGGGTGGTCTGTCTAGGGCAAGGAGGCGGGTTATATATTTGGGAGAGCCGCATGGCAGCATGGCACAACGAGCGATGCTCACTCTCACTCTGCCCAGGACTTATTGATCTGGAACTCCATGCGCCATCCCATCCCTCTACCCCATGCCTCATGTAGGTATGCCGCCACCCTGTCGAACACCGTCGAAATCTTGACCGACGCGGAACAACTGAATGGGGGTGACAAATTGGTGGCAGGGTTCCTGGTGCGGGATTACGGTAGGTTGCGTCTCTCCAAAGTGGGCATCAAGATCTCTCTCTGTCTTGCTGGCTCAGGGCGAGTTCTTCCATCTGTATGGGTGCGCGCGCGACTTGGATGTGTATGTATCCATGGTGGATGTATGTGCGCGTGTGTCTGCTGTGGGGAATCCCGGAAGGGGTGGTAAATTGGGGCAGGGGAACGGTAATACGACAAAAGCATCGACGGATACATTTGATCACCGTTGCCCCCATCAATGACTCTACTTCAATGCTTCTTGCCAGCACATACTACATGGAGCAGGCGGTCTTCTCGGTCGCGATAGCAGCACCCCGTCCAAGTTGTCTGCTCTCGGCCCATCTACCCTTTAGCTTGCCTTAAGACCAGATTCCGCAATCTTTGGTAATACTTTGGTAGCTCGAGCTTCATTTTAGCTCAACCCCCAGCCAGTTGCCTTTCCCCTCATCCGTTGCGAGGGGGCATACAAGTCACGGGCAACAGGTGCAAAAGCCCTTCTGCGGCCTCGAACAAATGAATATACCCTCAATCGTTCAAATTTTATCTCTCATGCAAGTACTTGTACCAATGTTCGCTCAGTCTGTATGGAAGAGTTCCAATTTCCAAGAATGCTCGTCAAGGTTCGAGGAATGGTGGTGGTGGTGTGGGGTGTGTGGCTAAAAGTAGCAAGATGAAAAGGACGCCGCTTGGAGCTGTGATCAAGCACATCAAGCACCAGCTCGAGCCAAGTGTCGCGTGGAACCTTCAAATGAAGCTTTACCTTAATTAAATCGGAGGCATCGGAAGTGCTAACATTGCAAGCTCAAAGAGGAGAAGCAAAAACGGTATCTAGGAAAGTAATAAGATATCTGAGCACGTAATCCTCTAAACACATCCCATTTCGCTCTTCGGCGGCCACTCGCCTTCAAGAAAAGGTCTAAACGCCCGTCAAAGGAGATCGGCGCCCCCAGATTCGCGAGGGGATGGACGGTGTGGTGTGGCCCTATGCCTAAAGAGCGACGTGCCTGGGAGCTTGAGAAGAGGGGGTAAAGGCTTGGAGAGCGGAAGAAGAAAAATAAGTTCTCCCCCAGGATCTCCGTATTCTCGTCGTGTCACGCAGCGACAGGACCCCGCGTTCCATTGGCTGGATGGGGTTGGAGCTAGCACCGGCAGGATGGGTAGTTGGGAAGATCACCACCAGACAAATGTAGAGTGAGCGCACGTGTTTGAAGTCAGCGGTGGGATCAATTGATGTGGGCACAGTCTCCTCTTGTCGACACTTCCTTGCCGTCACACACACACCCCCTTTCTCCATCGTGACATTGAGCAACAATACGACCACGTCAAGTGTCAAGCAGCTCTGGGGATAATAAGGCTGATGACTGGACAAGATGAGGCACAAGTACCCACAAACCCAGTCCAAGCCAGTTGCAGGGAAAATACCTGCACAGGCTTGGTCTTCAGCCTGTTGCGAACGCGACTTGGGCAGCATGAAGTCTCCTTCATGGCCCAAGGACCAAGTATGTGTCGAGATGTCCGTCCATAGTATGAAGGCGGATGAAAGTGACGGGGTCAATACTAGGCGATGAGAGCCATTGACAAGTGGGGGTTGGCAAAAAAGAGAAAAAGAAAAAAAGAATGAGATCAAATGACTGGGTAAGTGCTCCGGGCGCGGGTGGGCATTAGGTAGATTCACGCGTTGTAAACCCCAATTAGTCCCCTTTCGGCCATTCGGATGTGCACCTAATAGTGTCAACTATGTCAGGCCACTCCTTTCCTCCAAGGAAAATCGGAAACCACCGCGAGCCGAGCTAGCGTTTGTGCTTCTCTCATCAACACCTTTTAGTCGTTTATTTTGCTATCTCCGTGTGGAATTGCCAGCGTTTGAAGTGGATGAGCCTAATCACCCTCTAGCCCCACAATACCTCGACTGGACAAAAAAAAGTGGTGAGAATGGCTCGGCGACTCGGAGGTACAGCCATGGGCCGGAAGGCACGATCTTGGGCGAGCGCGAGAGCAAGCAAGCACGATCCCGCTTTGCTTCGAGAGAGGGCCCCGTCTGGTCCGTTAGAAGAGGGAAGGGCAGCCGGCAATGTACGAGGCAGTATAAGGAAGGCAGTTACTTCCGAGGGAGGAGCGGGATGGGCTTAGTATCGAGATCGGTTGTGTTGACGAGAAGCAGCGATCGAAACACGTTCTCGAAACCAGGCCAGCGGGTTTCTGATTTGGTCGGTTGATGGGCCTGGCTCTCAGGGCCAGCCAACGCCTCAAGCTGGTATTATGTACATGCCAGGGGCGGACGCCAAGATTACGCGACAGAACGACAATGGCTGTCACCTGGGGCTGGCCAGTCTCCAATCGCCAACCATTACAATGGATCAAATTATTATGCCTTGACGCTCTTTGGAGCCAGAAGCCCAACCCAACTCTGGCCTCAGCTTCAATGTTGGCTCTGGCAGTGCGACTGCCTGCTCTGTAATCCTCCTCAGCCACCCTGTACTAGTTGACATTAGTACGCCGTAGAGAGTCTCGAGGCCACAGGTGGCCAGCAATAATGACCAAGTCGGTAAAAGGCTAAGTTGCGGGACTCTTCGTCAGCTCGACCTCATCCCGGCCTTGTTGAATTTGGAAGGACGAAAGTCCCTGCCAACAGTGAGAGTCCATGTTCTTGGGAAGGATCGATGTCGAAATCAGAAACATTGAGTGAGCAATTCGTTGATGTTGGGCAGGCCCAAACCTCCTTCGCCCTTGAGCGTTGGCTCGTCTGGCCCAAAGGCGCAAAGTGATCAATCGCTCGAGTCTCAAGACACTTGATGCTCTAGGTACATGTTCGTCTTGCACATGCAGCCAACTCTGGACTAATAAGGTTCAGCCATTCACTTCGACCAGCTCCATCGCTCCTCAACCCTTCCTCTTGTCCCGATTCGGCGTCCGACGCTGCATCTCGGCAGTAGTCGCCACACTGACCACGACTATCCCAAGGTATTTCCCCTCCACACCGCCCGAAGGTTGGCCAAGAGAGCTCTCTGCCCAGCCAGCTATAAACCGCTTGGGACCTGTGCGGCGTTTGGCCGGGCCCCCAAGCTGTGTGTCCCCGTGCACAGGCACACGACAGTCCACGAGACCAAAGTCGGCGATTCCACCGGCCCTCCTCCTCCCCCTCTAGCTCCTTGTCGCCCTTCCACGGCCAGCACTCGGCACTGGCTTTACCTAACGCGCTCCCACAGGAACCAGGCAGGCTCGTAGACCTCACGCAAAGGCTATCGAGACGTTAATGAAGTAAGTAACCTTGATTTCATTACCTTTTGTATACGCAATTGCAACTTTGGGGATTCGGCCTCATGCGCAAGCAACAATCGCAAATGGCCCGATCCATACCAGGCCACCCCGCTTAGCATGCCAGATACCCCTCCCTTCCCCGCCGACTCTCCTGTTGAGGAGAGCGAAGCAGAGACGCTCGAGAAAAAGAAATAGCACCTCCAACTACGCCCCTCCCATAGATGATTGCATCATTCAGTCTACGAGCAGAGGTTAGCGAAGCGAGAAAAGAAGAAGAAAAAAAAAAAAAAAAAAAAAAACTCATAGTCGCCGAGATCTCTGGGCGGATTTTCATCTCTGATCCCCTACTAGATTGGGCGACCTCCAACTTCGATTCCTCTTTTGGGAGGCCATCCCACTGTCTCGCTTCACTCTCTTTCTCGCTCCTCTCGATTTTCCTAACCACGCCCCGCCCTTGCTGGATGGATCCCCACAGTCTTTGTGTTGCCCAAGCTAGCAGTTGATAGGCATCTCGTTGTCACGTCACTGCAGAGGAACCCGCGCTGACATCAAGCATTCCACTAAAAGAAATCGAATCCTGTTTCTCCTCTAGAATCCTGTTGCCCAAGGCGCGCGCTAGATTACCTAGCCAGCCTCTGGTCGAGCGGTACTGCCTGCAATGGAAGATGCGCGAACCCCTGAAGCTGCATTGTCCTATATCTCCCCATTGGTGAGTCGTTCCACATTTGTCTCCTCCAACCATTTGAGCCCGTGCAAGATCTTCGGCACGTCGTTGGCCCATTGTTCTTTTTTCTGGAAGCCTTCCCCCCTCCCTCGTGCCGTTTCACGCATCCTTGACCCGCACCGGCTCAGCGTCGCCCTATCCCCATAGCACAGCATCACCCTGCATAAGGGTTACGGTTCCTCCAAAGCCTCGACTTTGGACGCCTAGCTCGACAGCCCATGTCCGGAAGCCCATAGAAAACAAATGAAAGGGTCATTCTCTCATGATGCAAGTCGAAAATGCTTCGGAGCCATAGTCCCGCATACTCCTGCTTTTGCGCTCCTAATTCTAGCCCTTGTCTTGGAGATTGTCCCGAATTTCTCCTGTCAGCCTGTACGGGTTGTCGAAGCATTTCCTTTCCGGGGCAGGTTGAGGAGATTGAAGAGCGCAGACGACGTGGAGTTTCCGTCGTCGTGGGATATGGACTGGATCACAGGCAAAGTTGCCCCCACGTCGTCTCCAGCTTCGTTGTCTTGGATGCGTGGCCTGTCCACGCTCCCCCATTGTCCCTTGTTTGGTTAATTGACCTTTTTCTTTTGCTTCTGTTGAGAGTAGCCTAAGACCCCGGGAACAAGTGACACTCGGGTGGCCAAATATCCCATCCAGCGCCGTGGTTGGTCAACAACGACCGGCCTGTGTCGGCGTTTTCTGCCGTGAGGCCCGTTTGGCAATGATAAAAGCATTGCGAAAGGCAGGGCTGGTCCGGATTGAAGCCGGCGCATTGCGGTAGCCACCGCCCTGTGACCCCCACCGCCTCTAGGCTCTGACTGTTCTGTTCAAAGAGACCTGGCCACCCTCGTTACCCTATCTATACGCTCCTTATGTGATCCGCATCGTGTCTTTCTCCATTAGGGACTAGAACCTTGCCCTCCTGGCCGTTTTGCCTCAGTCTCCAATAGTCACTAAAGTTGCCCTTTCTTACAGGTTACACAAATTCATCCAACTGTGGCTACTGTGGTGGTGGTGGACGTAAAAAGAGTCAGTTCTACCGTCACAACCCCCACGACCCTGCTTCACTCAGCGTGGCTTCACGCCAGTATTCATGTAGATCGGCCGCATCTATATTCTCCTTCTGGGTAGGCGTAATGCCTCTCCCCGGACATGCCGTCTCCTTTTGGAACCGTGACGGTGCATCGTCCGTGGCTTTGGAGACGCGATAGATGCGCTGCTTCTGTGAGACTTGAAAATGAGATCTGACAGGCTTCCGTGTGTACATGCAGGCTACTCTTATTACGCCTCGGCTGTGTCTTTGACACCCGAGTTCTATCAATCCCTGCTTGACCGTACATGGAGACGTTCTGGAAGTCTCCTCTACCGACCGGATCCTCGGAGCTCCTGCTGCCCCCACTACACCCTCCGCCTAGACACAGATCTGTTCTACCCCACCAAGGACCAGCGTCAGTCCGTAAACCGCTTCAACAAGTATGTCATCGGCGAGACTTATGCGCGCGAGGCAGCCCGCCTGTACCCTCGGTCACGCGAAGAGACCAAAAAGCGAGATAATGTTTTCGACCTTGTCGATAGGATACATGAAGCCGAGGCAGACGTTCTAAAATCCCCTCCTGAGCCAAGCCACCAGTTTTCCGTATCGCTTGAGGATGACTGCTTCACGGAGGAAAAGTTCAAAGTGTTCGAGAATTACCAGATGAAGGTCCACAAAGAAACCCGCGAATCGGTGACTCGGAACGGATTTACTCGGTTCCTTTGCAACTCCCCCATCACCAGGCAGACCGAGACGTCTAAATCTGGCGTGGGTCGGCACCTAGGCTCATTTCATCAATGCTATAGGATCGATGGCAAGCTCGTCGCTGTCGGCGTGGTCGATCTCCTTCCCCAATGTGTCAGTGCCGTCTACTTCTTTTATCATGAATCAGTTCACAAGTTCTCTCCCGGCAAGCTAGGCGCCCTGAGGGAAATTGCACTCGCCAAGGAAGAGGGGTACAAGTGGTGGTATCCCGGATTTTACATTCATAACTGCCCAAAGATGCGGTATAAGATTGATTACGCTCCCCAGTTTATTCTTGACCCAGAAACACTCGTATGGGAGCCTCTAGATGATAGTGTGTTGGCTATCCTAGATAATGGTGCCTACGTGAGCATCTCAAAGGCTCTGGCGGATGGCCGCGCGAGCCAGCGAGGCGATGCTGAGGGTGACCCTGGATCTCCACCTCGATCATCGTTAGTTGGAGATGAGGAAGAGCGGGATGACACTGAAGCGGACACCGACGGCAGCAGCGACGAAGGGGAGAGTCCCCTTTTCACCAAGCAAATGCCAGGGATCCTAACTCTGAATGAGATGAAGAAAGTGGGTCTAGACGACATCTTCCTGAGGCTCGGCGTCGATGGGTCACTTCACAGAACCTCGGATCTCATTGTTTGGCATGATCTAACAATCGACGATACCCCAAATATCAAGCTCATGGTGGCGGAACTGGTGTCCGCGCTTGGGGTGGACCTCATGTACGATTTCTGCCTAGACTTCACCCATAGATGAAAAACGGAAAAAGCGTAGAGCCTTTATTTCGCACTCGCACCCAAGGCCTCAAGTCACGGTGACCTAGAGGGTACCTTTACAAAGGTCCATGATTGAGGTTCCTCCAGCTTCGGCAAGGAGTCACGCCACTCATTCCCTCTTGTGGCTCTCGGTCAAGAAAGAAGTAGGAGGCTTGGTTCGGACGTCAACGCCCTGATAGGGAAGGGGCCAAATCCCTGCCAAAAGCAAGGTGTGTAAAATGGCGGGAGGGGAGATGCGAGGGGGTCGTTGGCGCAAGGACGAAAACATCATCTCGTTGGTAACCATCAAGACGTGTCTACCAGTCTTGAAATGAAGTTATCTCGGCCGCGATTCGCTAGGTGGCATGGGGTTATGAGGTGGGCCATCCCGCGCTTTCTTTTTTCTTGGAGGCAGCGACCGTTACTCTTTTAGGCTTCACCTCAATAATAATAAGCACGGATGTACATATATTCTCGATATCTTGACCAAATCATCGCCAAAGTGGACATAACGCACATCAACTACCCACCTATACACCCCTCACATGATGCAAAAGCCACATTGAGTCGTAGGACTACTGCTGCAAATCAAGTTTTCTGTTCTCCATTCTAGCGCGGGATGGGAGGCTCGGTCTGGAATTTGCGCTTCCCTCAGGTTGCCCCAACCTCCTTCTTCTCTTTATTTCCTCCCTGCCCCGATTGGTCCCCCCGCAACCTCGTCCTGTTAGGGGAGGGACCGGGTGATGCCGGGAGGGTGATCTCCCGTCTTCGGGCCGGGAAGACGGGGGCTATACCCCGGAGGCTCACCGACGAGACACCTGCAGTCCCGTGCCCGGGATTTCAGTTTCTTCTCTCCCCTTCTTGTCTCTGCACCGTTTTGGAAAAGAAAAGACCCCCCTCCCCCATTTCTCTTAGTGGCTCTATTTTTTTCGTGGGGGTCTTGGGTGAGGAGAAGAAAGAAAAAAAAATTGCCTGCGTGTGGGGGCGGCGAATCATTTACGAGGATCGTGTATGTATGGGGGAGGTGGGAGTGAGTCAAGTCTATGGCGAGGGGTTGAGGCTTTTCCACATCTCGCGCGTGTGGGATAGATGTAAGGCTTTTCGAGGACCAGGATGAGGCAAGCCAAGGAATGGGGAGCGCATGTACGCCTGGCCCCGTCAGCTTACTAGGTGGAGAGATACTGGACACGGAGGGGGTTTGATGCGCGTGAAGCAGATTTGGGTTTAGCGAGGCTCGTTGGGCCGGAACGTGGATGGGCTTCGGTCAGGGTTATCGCCAGCTTTGGTGAAGAATCACGCGCACGCTTCGCTGTCAAGTGGCAGCCATTGGGGAGGAGGGTGGGGGAAGATACTAATATCGATTCCCTAAGAACAATAGGAGGAGTGGCGGTCCGCGTAGCCGCTTGGACTCAACGACGAGAGGGAGTGGCTAGGGAGGTTTCTTGCCCTGTCGAGGTGGCGGATGGTCCTGTCGAGGAGTGAAAGGGCACTAAAGGACGAGCGACATATACTTCTCAAAGATCACGGTTCGTTGCCCTCACCGTGCTCGAACGCGTATTCCGGCGAATCATCACAATCAAGGCTTCGCGGTGGGAGAATGGTGCGTCATGCCATGGAAGGGGAATGACGTTTGACATGCAAGGCCGGAGAAAAGGGGAAGAGAGGAGTAGAGGAAAAGAGGTTTGAGTTGGCCCTTTGGCTCCGCGTGACCCAAACTAAGCTTACCTAGCAATGAGATGTGAGACCTCACAGGGGACGAAACGGGGTTTGGTACAAAATGCATTCTATTCTGCCAGCCCACCAGCACACAGGCCTTTCCACAGTCCACGTCTCCCTCTCGTGACCTTGCCACTCTGTGCTACCAAGGGGTCACCGCCGCATCCCTCCGGCCTCTCGGGATACGCCACGAGGCGAGTCTGTTCAAGGAGGAGGGTGAGGTGAAGGATAGACGGGGTGAGAATGACAAAAGGAAGAACAAGTTTAAGACAAACTCCCCCTCCTTAGGAGGTCCACCCCTTCTCGCAAAAAGGGGGGATTTAGGAGGCAATATTTATAGACGCGGCTTTATCGACAAAGAGGAGTTTCATTCCGAGAGATAACAGTATACAAGACGGGGCTTTTTACAGGGAGTCAGTGAGGAGCTTGTTAAGCTTCGCAAGGCGAGCGGAGACGCTGCGGTCGATTGTTCGGTCGCCAATCTCGACAATGAGGCCGCCAAGGATCTCGGGGTTGACCTGGTGAGAGGGTTAGGAGGACGACAGCAATAAGCTGGAAGAACAAGGGGAGGAGCATACCTCGTTGGTAACCTTGAGCTTCTTGCCAGCACCGACGTACTCGGACTTGGCAACGGCGGTCTCGAGGCGGTTGAGGGTCTTGGTGTCAAGAGCCTAAAATGTGAGGGAAAAAGGGAGAAAAAGGTCCGCGCGTTAGCACCTATCTCCTAACTTCCGATCGAGGATGCCAATAGGCGAGGGTCGAGTTTAGTGTGGTGGTTTGTATCAAAGGGAACATACCTGAGCGCTAGTGACACGCATCTCGACCTCACCACGCGCCGCCGACATCAGGGTGTTGAACTTTTCGCAGACACCGCCGAGGAGGCCGAGGCGGTTGTTCTCGGCGAGAGCAGCGAGGAAGTTGTTGACGGTCTCGCCGCCAGCACCGGCCTGCTTCGCGAGCTCGGCAACGATGGCGGACTTGTCCTCGGCGCTAAGGGTCGGCGCGGCAAGAATGCTCTGGAGCTTGGCGTCCCTGGCGAAGATCTGACCGAGGGTGCTGAGGGCCTTGGCCGTGGGGTCGAGGGTCGAGGTCTTGACGGCGGCGGTGTACTACAATTGGCACAGGTTTTCGTCAGTCGTTGTTGTTGATGCGGCCGATTGAGGCGTTTTTTCTTGTCTCTCAATTTTCCTCACCAGGCCCGAAAGCCCGGTTTTTTCCCTCTCCCCCATGCGACCACCAAAATAGTCCAATTGACTTCCATCGCCATCACAAATCCCAAAATATTTGCACGAATTGAAAAAACTGCAAAGGGGTTATCGGGAATTTCGACCTACAAGGGCAGTGGCATAAGTTCCGTCGAGGCCAAACACGGCGACGGGGGCCCTGACGTTCTCGGTAGCGGCAGCGGCGAAGGTCCTGACCTGCATGGGGCTCGCTGGGCGGTCGCGGACCGGACCGATCGGAGCAGAGCTTGCCTCGCGAACATGGCTGCTGAAGTATCTGTCGAACTGGGGAGAACGGTTTCGAGGACGGCGAGGGGGTGCTGCGATGGGGAGCGGGAGGGCGGAGGATGTGTTCGATTGCGAGGTTCGATTGGAGTGAGGTTCAAAGGCTTGCTTCCGGTTTGTGGTTCGGAAATGGGCTCTGCTCGGCAAAATGGGTGGTTGCCTGATATGTAAGGCGTGGATTCAGAGACTGCCACGTTATGTAATGCCTCCGATCCAGGAACAGTCAGGAGCGGGATTTGCCGGGTGACGCTTGTGTTGATTATTTTCCAATTTCGCTCCCAGCTTGAAATTGGCTATGGAATAAGATCTCGATTACGGGGTGGAAGTTGAGAACCATGAAGTGAATACAAACATCATCGTTTAACGCAAACAGGGCGAAAGATAACTCAACATCTACACATAGTCAAAAGGTCCTTCGCGGTGAACGGGGGAAATTGGCAAAAAAGTAGAGAAACGACTAATTTTCCGTAACGTATCTAAAATAGGCCCAGCCCTTTCTCAATGACTGCCCTCACCCCCTCTCTTCCCCTTCTCTTCGAGAGTATTAGAGAAGGGGCGATGAAGATGCCTAATGCGAAGTACACAAAGCTCCCAAAACGCCATGCCACCTCCCGACACAAACACAAGACGAAGAAAACAAACAGGCCCCGTTACACCCGTTAGTCGCTCTTAAGCATGCTATCAACTAGGTCCCCCAACGGTCCCCAGAAATCCTTTCCGCTAGCTAGGTTGTGCTCGTCAATGAAAAGGACATATTGCTTGAAGCTCGTGTTCAGATGAGGCTCGAGGCCAAGCTCCCGGATGACGGGATAGTGGTGGCAGTAGATGTGGGCATAGACACGGTACATGCGCTTGAAAATCTGGCGCACGAGGCTCGGGAAAGACTTGGGGAAGGGAACACCTACAGGCCATCGGAAACCAAACGTTAGCAAGAGTTACGCATACCAATGATTTGGGGAGATTGAAGGGATGACGGTGGGTGGCTATAAGGGCTGGACATTACCAATTCGGCTGGGGAGAACCTGCTCGTTGTCGATGTTGCTCTGGACCCACCCCATCATCTGCTCAATGTACGCGGGCGCAGACATCTTGGTCGGCCGCTTGTAGTTCTCGCTATCCTGCCACAGATACTCGAACTCGTCCGTCGCCTTCATCTCGGGGCAAGACTGGGGGAGCAGAACTCGGTGATGGCACCGTAGATGAGGTTGATTTGGTTGTAGAAGTCCACCACTACCGCTCTGTTAGCCAGTGTGCTAGAGCGCGGGTCTCGATCAAAGAATCAAGGAGTTCGGGGCTGTTAAGGGGACTCGTACTGTTCACTGCAAGCCACTCGTTCTCGTCCTCGCCCTCCGGAAGCTTGACGACCTTTCGCAAGCTTCCGCCTCCGAGCGTCGCTTCGGCATATTGGCGGAGCTGATGGCTGGTGGCACCGCCTCGGCCGGGGGCGCGGGTCCGGAACTGGTTGCGCGTCCTCTGGTTTCTGGAAAGCTCACAAGATCAGCGCTCCTCCTTTATCATATTGTGCTCGTTCCTCGGGGAGCGGGGGTCTAAAGGTGGGTTTGGGGGTAATCCATGAGGATTCGTGTCGAGGGTGCCCGGGCGGCCGTGAGGGTTATGTACAAGGAAGACGTACACTGTTGTGATAAAGGAACTCATAGCGATGATCGATGGTTCTATTGGAAATGCAGTTCGTAATCTTCAATCCGTCGCATCGGTTTTGTTAGCCTAGGTTGGCGGGGCATGTTGCAGCAGGGGATGGGGGAGAACAAACAATCAAGCCACAAGGGCGGGGCTGACAGTGATGACCTGATATCAGCAGGCCTCGAGGAACGGGTGAAGGAGAAGCAGCTGGGAGAATAATAAGAAGAACAAAGCCCGCGATGGTGGTTAGAATGTATTCGCCGATCAAGGAATACTTCGTGGCAGTAATGCCGACTATATTACTGCTGCAAAGATTGTACGAAGTAGTGTAGTTGCTCTTCAAGCTTGGTGTGTTTGCTAGTGTTTATTCGCTGCCGCAACAAGTAGATTACGTTTGGTTGCCGGGCGGCCAGCGATCTCTGAGTCCTCGTGCTGGAACAGACTTGGTGGATGCAGGGTCCGCCACACTGTGCACGGGCAAACTACTCAGTGTCAGCTCTTTGCCCCGCTTTGGCTTCAAATTCTCAGGGCACCCACCCAACACCCCACCTTTCTCGCTGCAGTGAGGAATTGCAAAAGGGTATTGAGCAGCGGACACGGCGGATGGCAGCACCCACTGTGGGGGCTGGAATTCCTCAGTGAGAAAACGCTAGATAGCGCAAAACAAGTCAACGAAACAATAACTTCTGATTGGGGAGTTTGGCCGAGTGGTTAAGGCGTTGCGTTTAGGTTAAACCTAGATACCAAATCCGCAATGGACATTGTCCGCGCAAGTTCGATCCTTGCAGCTCTCACAAATCTTTCTTTTTTCTTTTTTTCTCGACCACGCATATATCCACTCGTTCACATATTCTTTTTGATCTACAGGCTGCTTTTTACGCCTTCATACAGGCCGTTCTATATCACTATTACTATTTGTCTTTTTTCTCGGCTGCATTTTCCTACTGGTACTCGGGCAGTGGAAGAACGGTTGGCGGAGCCTTGACTATCAAAATCTAAGCGATTAGAAAGCACACCTTCTTCTTGGCGTGTATACTAGATCAGAGTTCCTTTCCCTCTTGTCTTAATTCCTTGAGCTTCTTCCCAATGATTCCTTTCTGAGGACTTGCTGTGGCCCCTTTGCAGGCTGGTCCAATCTGAGCTCGAACCTTTGCTGCCCAGTTCATGTCCAAAGCTTGACCACATATAAAAGTGGGGACCTAGTCTTGTTGGGTGTAGCCAAGCCATGTGGAGGCGCCTAGCCCAGCAATACTGTGCCAGTGGCATTAGCTTGCGCACGTGACAAGTACGACAAACAACTAAGCACGGCCAGAAACTTGCTTCACTATTCAGAGTTGATTCAGATTCGCAGAGGGAGGGGAACAAAAAACAAAAAGGAAGGGAAGAGAAAAGAAGATAGGAGAGAGATTCAAAGGCCGAGATATCGCTCTACTCTCTACGCACGCCTAAAGAATTCAAGGGGTTACGCCACTCGTCGCCACCATATCGGCCCTTGTTTTCTTCACTGCCTGCCAAACTCGAAGTTTATTCCCGGGTTTCTGCAAAATCCTTCGACCTCTCCTCGAGTCAGAATGGCCTATGATGATGATGATGAGGCCACCATTCTCCGCCCGGCCAAGCCCCTGCGGGTGAAGAAGCAGACGAAAATGAAGATAGGGCCCCCGACTATCGCATCCTTGCATCCATGCTAAACAAGAAGGGCCGCTCAAGCCAGGAAGTCCGCAAAGGAGAGAAAGACTTTGAGGAGCACGGTACCCGGGCGCAAGAGGATGCTTTGGAGACGAGCCGGCGGGTGATGGAAGAAGTGTTGAGCTACGAGAGGCACTTTACCGAGGACAACTGGGTCAGGGCGTGGTATTTCCCGGATTGGTGGGTTGGGGAGCAAGGGAGTGCCATCTGCGCGGGGAACGAGAAGATTGACAAGCGGGATCTCCTGCTCGAGGACAGAGTTGCCGTCGTGGAGCATACGAAACGGTTCCCCGCAAGACTGCTTGGGAGGGTGGTGCCCGGGGTGAAGAGGAAGCATGCGGCATCGGGCCAGACGTGGTTGCTGCCAGAGGAAGCCCTGTTCCTGGTGGAGAGGGGCAGCATGGAGCTTTGGTGGCCGAACAAGACGCTCCCGGACCTCTTTCCGCCTCTCGAGGTCGAGGGCGAAGGCCAGGCCCCCACGTCGATGCTCAAGGGAATCGACGACGACGAATACGAGACGGGGCTGCCACTGAGTCTGCAAGGCGCGTACTCGATGCTCATCGGGTTCCCGGGGAGAGGGGCAAGGTGCCTCTGGCGAGGTTCCAAGTGTACTCCACGCTGAAGAGGGCGGGCTTTCACGTCATGCCCGTGAGGCAAGGGTTCGCGGCCGAGCCCCAGGCGCACAGCAGCTCCGAAGGCGGGCAGAGCCTCTGGAGGTGGCTCGTTTCGCTCATCTCCTCGAGCTCGCACACCCGCACCCCGCCGTCCCTCGGGCCCCTCGTCCGCCCGGGCCTCTACCACTCGTACAACCCCGTCTTCCGCCAGCTCGCCATTATTCCGCGCCACAAGCCCGCGACGAGGAGCGCCGTCCACGCGGACCCGGACGACCCGTTCCGCATCCACTACAACGTCTGGAAGGCCGAGGGATCCTTCCGTAAAGGGAACCCGCCGCCGCCCGATTTCCGCGTGTGCGTCGTCGACACGCGCGACACGCCCTTCCCCACGCTCGAGCAGATCACGGCGCTCCTCGAGAGCGCGCCCTACGATCCGCCCCCGCCGGTCAAGGCGGCGTGCCGGCGGGCAACGTGGGGCAGATGCACTTACGGCTCAAGCACGGATACCGCAACGTGCTCATCGCGGTGGTGGACCACGGCATCACGAGCTTCAACCGGTTCAGCGATGCCGGCTTTGGCGAGGAGGTTATTTTTGAAGGGTTCGATGACAGGGTGCGCGGGGTCACGGAGGGCAAGCGGGGACCGGGGAAGAAGAGCGGGCAAGGAGGCCCTCGCGGGGGAAGAGAGGAGGCAAGAGGGGAGGTCGGCGAGGAGGAGGCTGATTGGGGGAAGATGGGAGGGAAACCTAGTGTTTGCGAACCGAGAATCCAACCAGGGCCGATCCATCTACAACACGACGAGCAAAAGAACAACACCTACCAAAGACCAAAAGATACCCGGGCCCCCGGCATCAGGGGTCCACCGCCAGAGTTTGGCTGTTTTTACCAACGAAAAGTTTTTTTGACATCTTTATACTCGAATGATTTTTCTTTCTTAAAACTTTAGAGTTCATAGACCACTTGGCTGTATAGATTTTATCGCGTTGACGACGTGCCACCTATCCGAGCCCATCTCTCATTCCCTGCTTCTGTTCACCTCTTGTCCTCAAATCTCCCACCTCTCTTCTTTGCCGTTCCGCTGCCTTCCTCCTTGATCCATCCAGCTCGCATCCAGTAATGACCTACCTCTCTATCTGCTCTGTGTCGTGGTTCTCGCGTCTTCATGGCGCCTCATCAGAGCTTGCCCCGGCGCCTTTCGCCGCAACTGAGGACTATTGATACGCTACGTACAGAGTAGGTGGAGTGACGAGACATGTGTAATACGAAGTAAACCCCGTAGTCTCACCTTGGGTGCACAACGCTCTCCCTCTTGCTGATGCCAAGACAGCAGGTATCATAATACCATTGGAATAAATTTCTCATTTCTCGGCAGGGGTACCGAAACCATTCACATCATTCCGCATGGGTTTCTTGATGTGGAAACAACCATGTTTAACACGTGGGAGTTGGAAACCCCCAAACGAGAGTGACGGAACTATTAAAGGGGGCAGGGGACCGCGGGGGAGAAGAGGTAGGTAAACCCAGTGTTGATCCAACAAAAGTTTCGCGATGTGATCAGTCGCGCGAGATCAGGTCAGCTTAAGCGAGCGGCATTGAGCTCGATTGGGTATTGTGAATGTTGCTACAAGACTGGAACGGGGGAAGGGGGGAGGGATTGGGGAGAGGCGTCACAGGCCAGGCCAACCAACATCTCGAAGCATGGGCTGCTGGATTGATGTGGAGGGACGACCAGGGTCTCTGTCAGCTCTCCTCGGGTTGGGGCATTTCAAAACTAGAGGAAGGTGATGGTGGCGTTATTAGACCACACTCTCGGCTCGAATTGGGGATAAGGGGTTCCTCGTGTTAAGTCTTCTTTTCTTCTGGTTGTTTCCGGTGTATCTCTTATCTATAATGTACAGAGATGAAAGCGATGTCTCGAGTCATCTTGATAGATATATTGAGAGCAGGGAGGACCGAGAATAGGATAGACAAAGTAGAGATTGATATTGATGAGGCCAGTTTTCCTTTATTTAACAGCAATTCTTGGTCGGTGAGATTTTCCCAATCAAATTGATTGAAATCCCCACCTCTATCATTGATCACTTGTATCCTGGAGGAGGCGCTGAGATTATCTGCACGAAACTACCGAGATACGGCGTAATACTTGTACTCCCTGGCCGCTGCGGCGCCAGTCCAGGGAAGCGGTAGATGGGGAGATGGAAAGGTGGCATTTCAATCAGCAGGGTTGGTTCGCTAAATGGCTGGAACCATGTTATTATTATTATTTGTGATACTTGTTTTGGAAGTACAAGAGAGAGAACATTGACGAGAAAAAGAAAAAGAAAAGAAAAAGAGTGAAGCACATCTGACAGGGTAATGCGTATGTATGCCGGGAAAATAGAAGAACATGCAAAAGCTTCCAATCAGCCAAATGGGGGTTGAGTTTCAGAAGCGAGGTTGCGAGCAATAGCAAAGACGAGGGAGGTTGAAGTTGACAAATCTTAAGTGATACTTGTACATTGATATGACAAAACTTGATCATGAATGTATGTAATACATACCGAGGTATACATAGATCCATGACATCCACCCTTGAGTGAAAGGTCAAGAGTGATGCGCAGCACGTTGAAAAGGAACATTGAAGGGTGGGTTCCTGAGTTTAAGGTTGTGAGGGAGATTGGCAGGATTCGAGGTAATTGATGTCGTAGTGTAGAGGAGCGTGGAGCACGAGTCAGGCAGGAGCAGGAAACAGACAACTTCAACGTTCAATCCATCATAAGTTCAATACGCATGGAGGCACCGGAAACAGGCTTGTTCAATGCTTGACTCTTTTTGAAGAGAGAAGTGAAATAAAAAAGAAATGAAGAAACAAGGAAAGAAAGGGTGAGGAGAACAAAGAAAAAGCAAATCCACGTTGGATGGGTTAATTGATGGGACCCGAAGATTCAAGCATGTTGCTCGAGGAATGACCTGTATTGCCTGTATTACCTGTATTACATGGAGATGTAGGATTGGAAGGCCAAGGCACGATTGGCATTAGGTGAGATGAGTTGCAGTTCAGCTGATGTGGCCGACATGTACCTCAGTTTCAACCTTGGCCGGGAATAGTCCTATTATTACTCTTACCATTACCACCAGGTGCGTGTATCATCGGTCCTACGGAGTCATAATGATCCATTCGGCTTATGGTATGAGTTGAGCAAATCCCCACCTTTATCCCTGTTCCATTTACGTTGCCAACTCAGTCGACGAGAGGGAAAAAGGGAAAAGGGAAAATTGTATCAGGGTACATGCGTTAATATTAGGGGATGATCTTCATCCGGAAGCAAAAGCTGACGAGTATGGATTTTGAACTTACGGTTCGCAGAGCCCCAATTCATCAATCTGAGAGTAGCTTGTGGCATATGAACTGGAATTAGAATCAGCCTGGCGTCGTGGTGTTTCATGGCCGTCGGGGAAGTTCTCTTTATTATCTTCTCTTGTCTTCTTTTGGGAGGGCTCAACGGCGTCATATATACTCGAGGCAATATGGGTCCATCGAATCCGTCCAGGTTCCAGGTTCCAGGATGTCAATAATCATGATACGAAAGGTGAGAAAAGAAAAGAAAAGAGAGTGTGTGAGGATCAGGGCGTATTAGATGTGTATATCCATAGATCCATGCATGCATGCGTGTGGCTCGAATGATGGGATCCAAGACTTCATCATTCCGGAGAACGCTGAAGGGTCAAAAAGAGTGTGATTATAGTAGACAATAGTTAGTGTACGAGCAAAAATGAATTTTACCGTCGTATTGACTGACGCCTTTTGATGTTGTGATCTCCTTGGAGTAGCCTTGGTTGGACTGGTTGAGATCCTTTGATTGCTTGGCCATCTGCTGCACGCCCCGCCCCTCGGCAGCGGCTAGCAGGACCGTGCAGTATAAAAGTAGTATTCCATCAAGCAACGATCCCATGGATCTATTAGCACCACCTTGGTAACAGTGGAATGGCGCTCTCTCCGCACCCGTGGATGCGTCGCAGCTTGGTGACTTGAGCTTCAAAACGAGTGCGGGAGGAGAGGGCGAAACAAAGGGAAGACAAAAGGTTGTCGACGAGCGATGGGGCGATGGGGCGATGGAGCGAGCGGTGGAGCGAGTAAATGGTGGATGGATCCATCATGGATCAATCGAATGGATCTATGTTTGGCGAACAAGCTTGCTCCAGTACAATAGAAGGTCCAGCTTCCGCACCGCCCGCTGCAGCCAGTGACATTCCGAAGCCGACTGCCCAGTCACGGAGAAGTAGTGTACAGTACTTCAATGTTGAGTGACAATATAATATTGATAAATCGAAAAGATGTCTCGGACGAGCTGACACACTTTGGAAGTGCACAGTGGATTGATTCAATCAAATATTTTGATATTGGCTAGCCCAAGCCCAGCCGCAGGTCGCGGGTCGCGGGTCGCGGGTCGCGGGTCGCGGGTCGCAGGTCGCAGGCGGCAACAGTTCCGGGATGCAACAGCGAACAGAGGAAGGAAGAGTTGAGGTGTTATCAGTCTTGGTCATATTACCCCGGTGGCTCAGATTGATCGCTGGGAAAGGGCGAAGGGCAATGTAGGTAATACGCGGAAGGCACTAGGAGCCGAAATGGACCTGCCTCAACTGGTTGGGCTGAATTGCGTTGGTCGGTGTCGAGTCGGTACTTGCTACTCCCCATGTCAAGCATCAATTGTTTTGACTAATAACAGTCAGAGATACAACTGACATTTGTTTAACACGACGTCCCCGAGGTAGCACTAGCAGAACTCCCATCATCTTGGCCGAATAAAAGGGCACGACGAACACGACTCGCAATAGGAACCGTTGAGGAGGGGGAATCCAGGCAAGAAGACATCATGCACCGCTTGCTTCGATGCTTTGTTTTGCATTGAACGCATTGAAGCCCTCGTTTTTTCGAAATAGTTCCGGAGTCTAAGGCTGGCTGGAATTGAGGAGAAGCTTAATACACTAGTCAACTTGGATGGTGCATCGACTTATTATTGCCTATACATATACATCCACTTCCATACAACTACTTCGTACTTGCGTGCATGGGTTGGCGCCATTTTCAAGTATGACATGGATCAGTTGATGAGACTGATCAGTGAGGTAGCCCTTGTATCGTAGGGGGAAAGAACAACCACAAGGCCTCCAAGCCAGACAGTTGATGTTCCGAAAGTAGTAATACATTTGGACAATTGACGTTGGAGTTGGTAAAGGCCAGGTCCACATCAATTTCTCAGCCCATTTTCCTAAACATTTATTCGCGTGCAACCCGAGCCAAGTCAACACCTCCCCCAACCTATGTGTTCTGTTGGACAGTTGAGAGCGTCGGCTCAAGCCAGCCAGAGCACTGCAACATTTGAGAAAGCCGGGCTATTATTAGCCTAGTAGAGAGGGTTTCAGTATTGGTGCGTGATACTTGGTTACCTCCAAAATCAATTCTCTCTGTGCCTCTCCGTCTCCGACTCCCTTCACTCGGAATACCTAGCTCAATCTGTTGATGATACCCAGAAGACTCGCATCAAGTCTCTTTCTCTCTTTCTCTGTCTCTCACCCCCCAGCAGCCGGCTCGCTCGCTTAACACCCCTTGGCAACATCGAGCTTCAATACCCTTGGAAAAGTTCGTTGACCAACCGTGCACGACCAAGTCTCTTTTTCGCTCTCTTCTTTTTCCCCCTCGCTTTCACGTACAAACTCTATTATCTCCTATCTTTTCCAGGTTTCAACTCTTCAGCCAAGCGTAATACAAGGGGCCGCGCACTCACGCACGAGGCACACTCCTACTGCGACGGCGCAAAACCTTGGTCAACCCCAAGTGCCTGACCCAGGAACGAGCGGCACAGAGCCCGCACCATACGCAGAGGACTGCTATCAGCAACCGGCGTCAGTCAGCAATCCGCAATCATTTTGGACAATCAAGCATCCAACATTTGAAGACTTCAAGGGGGTACAGCTACTAGCCAAAGGGCCCGCCAGCCAGCCAGCCAGCCAAAAACCGTAACCGCGTCCGCATCCGTAGCTGCACCCGCACCCGCACCCACACTCGCGCCATTGCCTGATTGATTTGATTTGATATCAACTTGGTGGAGAAGCGCCGTCGTGTTCCTTCGTTTCCTCGCCTCGGATTCCTCTTTGGTGCCCTAATAGTTTCTGGCCGGAACTAACTCGAGTTGGGACTACCTACACCTGAGCTCATTCGTCCACTTGATTGATGTTGAATTTGGCCGCCTTTGATTCGGTGTTCTGCCTCAAATCTTCCTGCGCTCAACACTCTCTCCCGGGCACATGTCATCTCGACGACACACAACCTAATACACCAGAGCCCCAAACCAACTCATCCGACCATTTCTTCTCTCTGCATCCATCCTAATCGGCGCCTCTCTCAACCTCGACGGTCTGTGACTGATGATGTGGGTTTTCGTTTCCGCTTCTTGAATTGCCGCCATCCTTTTCGACACCTTTGCCCCCTTTCAACTCGCCGAGGATCCAGTTCTGGTTGTGATCCACCAAACTCTTACCTGTCACCTTGTCTTGAGTTGACCGCAGCAAGCCAGTCAACCTTTTTTCCACCCCTTGATTGTCTTCCGAACGCCGCCTTTTGATATCCGACAACGTCTCTTTGTTTTTCTGTGTGTTTACGTGTGTGCGTCTGGATCATTTTTCTTCCTCTTCTTCTTTCTCACTACTATCTATCCCCCTTCCTTCATCGCCTTTGCCTTGGGCAGTTCCTGTGCACTTGCATGGTTACCGCGTCTCGGAAACAGAGTAAACCTTGTCCGACTTGCCGAAACAGCGGACACACCACGCTCTCATAAATCAAGGTAAGGCATGACCTCTGGGGATATTTGCCTCCCCTTCCGATCATCTTGAGGAGAAGGCGGAGATGTTGAATGAGGAGTTCCCATTGTGTTATCAGCGCATGTCCGGCCTGCCTATCTCCAACTCGTTGCGTCTTTCCGCCCGAGCCTGTCCTATTTGTTTTCATCATCTTTCCTTTGAGATTTCCCTTTGCACCTCATTCGCGAAGTTCGCCTGCCAGCGCATGTGCCTATCTTGAGGACCTTTAGTCGCGCGTCATTGCGCCCGCTCCACCTCCCCGGAAAGTGTCCCGAGGCTAAGCATCAACCTCTTGTCTCCCGCTTCTCATTATCATTGACGTTTGTGTGGAGCACGCAACAATGTATGTTGGCCGCACCCTGCTTTGCCTTAGCCCGTCCATTGACTAGCACTCTTGCCAACCAACTCCTAGCTCGTCACCCATGTGCTTTTGATAACGTCCTTCTCCATCGCTCTCCACCTCTCTTCCTAGTTTCCTTTGCACTATTTTATCTAGCCTGCCCCTAGACGTCGATTTTTAGCTACTCTATTCCCCGCCCCTGTTGAGATGCAACTCACCAAATCCCCTAGCCCACCTCGCTGCGCTGCACGGTGCAGATCTGTTATCAGGCAGCCGAACATCTGGCTCCCCCAACCACTATCACTTCAAGTTACACTCTTAGCCTCCAGCCAGCCAGCGGTGGTCTGGTCCACGTCTCCCACATCTAAACTTTGACCCTTCCTTGCCCGTCCGGATGCGCCGCTTGGCTGCTTTCCGTCTCATGGCCAAGTGCCATCGCTCTTCTCCGGAGGGCGACTTCTCCGCGTCTTATCAGAGACGATAGACTCCACCGCACCTCCTATAACCGGCCTGGATTGGATGGCTCCCATGTTCATCAATTGCGCGAGTGAAGCCATGATGCAAGCATGCTTGAAGGAGAAATGGTGTGGCTAACCCGTCCATTCTCCTAGACTCTCTATTCGCTCTGTCACTCTTTGGCCGCCCGCCCCGGTTCGAGATGAGCGACCAACTCCTGGTGCGGGAAAGGACTCCACCGCCGCAGGCGGCCGTCGATAGCCTTCGAGACCACCCCTCGAGCCTCTGCGATCTCCCCTCAAGTCCCCCAGCCGCAGATCAGGTTGTCGCACGGTAAGTTCTCGCTCAGCGGCCCTTCCCTTTCACGGGGTCACCCGCCTCTCCCCCACCCTGTTCGAACCGTCTAATTTCAGTGGCTATCTAGACCCGCCTCGGTCGGCAGGGCACAGCTCCCAGATCGCCCCACGCCAGCAAGCGATCCAGACCAAGAACTGAGCCCCGTTCCGACTGAAAGCATGAGCCCTCCAAGTAGCATCATCATCAACCCCCTCCGCGACGAGATCGTAGTCAGTTCTCACGGTAACGGAATCCCTCACAAACCTTCCTTCTCCCGAGTCTCTGGCGGCGATTGGGACACGGAAACGCTAGATGATTCTCGCGGGACTGTCGAACCCCGCCGCGGAGCTAAGCGGAGCCTCCTTCCTGACAGTCCTCCGCGCCGTGCAGATATCCACCCAGATCGTACTCCCGTCGACCCACCGCGAGAGTTGGAGCCGCGCCGCACCAAGGTTGTGCGACGGGCTGTTTCTAGCCAGGGCCTCAAGGGCGTGGTGCTCGGCTATTGGAGGGATTCTCGTGTGCCCAACGTAGCAGATAGGCACGCCGTCATCGGCTTCATCGACGTTCGCGACCGACTACGCACCCAGATCCAGAATACCACCCGCTCAGGGAAGCCCGTATCCAGCGACTATCCCCTACCACCCGGCCTGGCGGCAGCTGGGTGACCTTTGAGCGCATCGTCTTCGTCGACCACCTCGTCGGGCTCGACCAGCACCACGTCAAGGAGTACGTCAAGGTTCGCTCCGACATGAACCCGACCGATGCGAATGACACTTCGGAGGCCGATCTAGCCGCCCGAGCCGAGGCTATTGGCCGTCTCAAACTCAACCCTGTATCCGACTCGGCACCACCTGCCCCCATGGCATACGGCGAAGACGTGCCCGAAGCCCTCCTCACCCCGCCCGAGCCGATAGCTCGAATAAGCGTCGCAAAACCTCGGGCTCCTTTGCTCCCATTTCCTCGCTGAGCCCCACCCCGGGCAGCACCGGCGATGTCCGCTCCCTCGACCCCCATGACCCTCTTCTAGGAACAAGGCCCACGCGCATTCTCGTGGGTTATTGGAAGAGCTCGAGCGAGGTGGAGGAGCGCGACAAGCACGCAGTCTACGGCATTCTCGGCCAAAACGACATGTTCCGCGTCAAGTTGGTGCGGGAAACCCGGGACGGCCGCTATATCAACGGCAACTTCCCGATTGGGGCCGGAGCGCTCTGGATCCATTACGACGAGGTCCATTTCGAGCCCCACCTCGAGTCTTTAAGCCGCACCGAGGTCAAGGAGTATTGCCGCATCCGCCAGTATCAACTCGACCACGATGAAGAAACCGAGGAGCAACGGGCGGTCAATGAGGACGTGGCCATCCGCTACGCTCGCGAACGCGTCGCTGCGGGTTTCCGCGGCTACATTAGCACCGCCGCCCCGAAGCAGACTCGTTCGAGCATGGCCGAGGTGGATGAGGATACGAGCATGGTCACGGAGTCCTCTCGCCCCGTCCGCACGAACCACTCGAATTCTCATCACAACCATCCATCGCCCCACGCTCAGCTCCAGCCGCATCATCACCACCATCACCATCACCACCCCCTCTCCCCGCCGGTGCCGACGCCGACAGCTCTCTGCGTCGAGGCCGCAGCGAGGTCCGCCCCAACTACAATGAGTCTTCAAACCACCGCGCCGCTTCGGAACTCGTGGAACGGACGAGTAGCATTGCTCAGCGCGAGATTGCCCGCGCGGAAGCTGCCCAGCTCCGCCAGGACCGCTACGCCGCAACCAAGGAAGCCGCCGTTGCGGCCGCGGCGGCCGTATCCCCAACCTCGCATGCGGGCCCCTACCCGGCATGCTCTCCGCCGTGCTACCTAGCAACGGCCACCCGCCCACCACCGGCGCCTACGGAAGCACCGGCAGCGCGACGAATAGTGGCAGCCGCCCGCCCTTCCACGAGTCGGACGACATGATGCGCTTAAACAGCGTGTGGGCGCGGCAGGAGGCTCAACGTATCCGCAACGCCGGGCAGGACGATGCCAAGATTTACAACGGCATCAAGTACGAGCGCAAGGCGACCGGTCCGTTTCAGGGACGTTTTGTTTCCCAGGGGACTATTATCAGTATCGATGGGGATGATTATGTCGAGTACCGTGTCCTGACGAAGCCTTGCTTCTTCTAACTCTCTCTCTCAAGATTTGTCCAGCAAGACCATGATGAAGGGCATTTTACAGGCCATAAGCGCTTCAGCGACCAGCGTCGTCCCAAGCTAAACGGAGGGCGCAGCGCCGCAACCCCTTCCTTCTCTTTCTTTTTGGCTACACTCTTTTTCCTTTCTAGATGTGCAGTGGCTATAGCCAGCAATGGGCTCTATGTTTGCGCCATCAACTCCATTGGCTCCGTCCGCGACCAGCAGAAAATGGAGGCCGGGTTTTCAACAGATAGAGCGCGTGGAGGAAAGGACTTCCAATATGGACAGGATTTCCTCTTCTTGGTGTCTAACACGGCGGAATTAATCGAATATCATCAGGCTGGGACACTAGGTATGGGTGGGTAGGGTAGGCAGGTCTTCAGTCAGGCCGTGGTCCTCTTGGTGTTTCTTCTCTTCTTTTCCTGGCCTTCCTCTCCTCTTTCTTTCTGTCACTGCTACATCTCTCCCTTTGTCATTCCCATTTAACGATTTCCCATTGACTCTCTCTCTTTATTTCATTCCTTTTTTTTTTCCTGGCCAGATACCATTTCCGAGTACTGTTGTTTCGGACACCGGGGCTCGTCGCCCCTTTTGTTGTTTTTCCCGCGGCGGCTGTCTGTTTTCTTTTCGTTCTTGCGCCCTTTCATCTTTCCATATAATGGCTTATCAGATTTATCATAATTGAGCGAGGTCCTCGTGATTACCATACGAGTGACCCCTTTTATACAGTTCCTTTCTTCCGTCTTCTTGGAGTAGGTCCTTGGCATTTCAATGATTCCTGGACCTTTCACATGTAAAGCGTCAGCTGCAACTTAGAGCCCGTCCGTACTTTTGAATTCTTATCTGGAAAAGGACGTTGAGCTTCCTCTTCTACGGTGTTGTCTAGATGCGAGCCTCGAAGCGTCTTTGGAGAGCCTCCTCTCCATTGGCTCCGTGCAACTGTGTGCCTCCTGGCCCGAGGAGTGATGCAATCCTCTTTTCTCTCGTGATGGGCCGAGGCCTTGCTGTGGATGGGAGGATATATCTTGGGCCAAGAGCGGAAGGACTGACTTGGACGTGTGTCCCCATGGTCTCTTGTTATTCCTCCAGCTCGTGTCGTCTCTGGCTGATTCATGGTAGTGATGGAGAAGGCTTGCCTCCCTCCCCTTCCCTGCCCTATTTGTGTCTTGGAACGAATGAGTGCGAGGTTGGCAAGGGGAGGATGGGTCTGTTTGTGCCTTGTTGGAGGTGTGTATCTGTAGATAGGGAGAGGGGGACGTGTGTGTCGAGTCTGAGACCGAGGGAAAGTAACATCTTGAGAAGTGAGACGGACGAGACAGAGTGAGCGATGGCTCTTGTTATTCCTTCCTTGGGGGCTTCCCTACTTGTGCTTCGGCACAAGGGGTCACGATGGCTGCCTTTTGTGGAAGATGTCAACGCAGCTTCACCTCCTAGCCCCCGTAGTTGAATAGGAGTATAGGTTGTCGTCGGTGTCCGGAACACCCGTTTCTCCCGGTATCTCTCTCTCTTTCTCCCTCCCGGTGTGTCTATCCTCTTGATGTTTGCGTCAGGAATCGCGCAAGCTGCCATACTTTCTCCTCACGAGACCGGCTCTACGAGTAGCTCGAGGGGTATAGGACAGCAGAATGTGTATTTTAGATGAACTTGTCACAGGCTCGGAGAGTCACACGAGCCGGGTTCATGACCCGTCGACGCTCCCTCTCCCACTTTTCCACGTTTGGAGCCGGATGATGAGCACCATCTTTCGACGCCGACGTGGGTGAGCGCTGCTTCCTATCTCACGTTATACGTGGCATCGTCTTCAAACATAGTCCAAGGAGCAAGGACTAACAAGGAACAGGGCTCAGCAATGTCTTGGGCTACTATCCCGCCTCTTCTTATGGAGTTGAAATAATTCGGGTTTTCTCTAGACTCTAGTCATGAACTTCATTCACCAGGAGATGGGATAATCGAACTCGAGCGAGATGGCTTGATGCCGGAGTCGCCAACACAGCACAACGCCGTCTTCAAGACAATAGGGCTCTTCAGAGATCACTACTCATCCTCTCCTCCGCGAGCAACGAGCAGATATAACTTCTCTCACTCTACGTTGCACACACACACACACACCAAGACTCACCAACGTGGCCCGCCTCTTCCTCTTCCCTTTTCCCCCTTCCCTCACGCGACCAAAACTCACCGCCCGCTGAGCCCGTATATCATTACCAATCCGAAAAAAACACCAACACATAGTACGGTGTCGTCCCTCCCACCTACGGTTTGTTCTGTGCGTACTTGGGACCTGCAGCCTCGGTGCCGTGCCTCGCACCGACCTTGGCGCCTGCGGCAAAAGAGGAACGGGTACCTGTGTTGAAGCAGCAGCGCCCGCCTCTTCCCGTTCTCCTACCAGCTGGAAACCGAATTGTAACGTCTTTTTCTTTTTCAGATGCGAGGGCAAAAGCAGGGGGCCAAGGACGCTCGCCTGAGACGCTCTATCCATTTTTGTTTTCCTCCCCTTCCTCTGTCTGCGTGCTTTAGCTTGATGTGAAGGAGGAGGCAAAACTGCTAGTCTCTGCTTACACATGTGGACCTGCACACACCACCGTGCTTCACGGCCGTAACCCCCCTCTTCCCCTTCGCTTCCCTTCCTTTCCCTACCTCACCTTCGCCTCTCCAAACTCGAACTAGTCGCCGGTGATGGGTGAGGTAGATGATGATGCTCCCTTCCTCCGTTTGAGTTTGAAGGCGCGGGCTCAGAATTCAGGGACACGAGCCTGTCCCAGCGGGGTGGAAAGTAGATGTTCTGTGTGCCATGGCTTCTCCTCCTTGACTCGCTGGAGGGAGGGGGTGGTTCACCGGGGGAGGGCTTCCAAGATGAGTGGGAAGAAAAGGTTCCCTTCAGCTGGGTTACAGTGCTAGCACGGTTACGAGTTCGTGCCTGATGATGGTCCCAACCTTGATGCCGGAACGAGCCACAGCAGGTGTCGCGTCGTATAGTGGTGGGAGATGGCGTGTTGTCTCGAGGAACTCGTCTTCACTGGGTTTAGCATGGCAGAGCGGCCGCACTACTGGTAATTTTAAAGTGTTTTTTGTCTGTGGGCTGAGGGAGCCGTGGGGAAAAGGGAGGGAGGAGAGGGTGAGGAGGGGGGTAAGGCACCTGAACAGCGAGGAGGCGAGATCGAGGTGATGGTCTAAAGCGGATGGGCGTGAGGATCGAGGCCCGCTTGGCTCCTAAGAAAGACGAGCCTTTCTCGTCCGGTCCTTAGCTTTGTGAATGCTACTACCTGTTTTCGATCTTAGCACCACCCTCCCAAAACAAAATGCTGGTAAGTTGGGACCAGTGCCCAAGACTACACTACACTACACTCCACTAGGCGTGTGTATTCCACCCATTATAGGTGAGAGGAGCCAGTCTTGGTGCTACTGGCGGAAAGCTTGGCGTTTGGCTGGCACACATGGCAGCGGCTTCTGATAAGCGAAGGCTCGCCTGGGCTCCCCGTTCCCGGTTCTCAATGAAAGCCAAAGAGTATTCCATTTTGTACTCTTAAAAATTAGTCTTTTAGTTTTTTTTTTTTTTTAAAAAAGAGTGGACTTTTAGGTAATATTATCCATAGACATAAGGGAAGTGGAGTGAAGTTGGCGTTGCTTTCTAGTGTAGGTCAGCAGGTCAGTCTCCCTGTACGAGGGGGTGTACGGACAGCGTATAATTCATACAAGTAGCTCGCGAGTGGGGGAGAAGACCAGGCTGGAAGCGGCATCGCGGTGGTTGAGGAGCTACGAGTGAGCAGTAGGCGATCCTGGGGTAGAAGTGAGACCCGCGGCAGCTCGCGGGGGCAGCGCATAGTTGTTGACGAGATGCAATTTGAGTCTGCCTTGGCGACTTGGATGGGGAGAGAGAGAAATCACCAGTGGCCGTCATTCACCCTTGTCCCCCTCTTTGGTCTCTCTAATGGCCTGGAACCTTGACCAGGGAATGAAGAAGACCCAAAAAAAATCGTTTGTGGTGCTCTTCCATCTGCCGTGACTAGACTGAAAATGTGGCATCGGACGAAATCGTGGCATCACCGCTCACTGCTTCTATGTCTGGTTGACAAGTTTCCAAGATCCAAGTTTTGCTTTTTTCCATCTATGATCCTTTCTGATGTCGTTGGCGGCAAGCTTGCGTCCGGGCAACAAGGTGAGATCTTGTGCACAAGCTCAGAGGTGTATCGAGGCAGGAGGCACATACACTACGAAGCACGTAGCGGGCAGATGACCCATCGTCTTCCGCGCTGCCCCCAAAACCTAACCTTGAATTCCAACCGGCAGCTCGGCTCCCCGTGGCTCAATAGCCACCTTTTTTTTTTTTTTTATACCAGTCTCCATCATACAGAGTTGCGTCGTCTGTAATCTCGATTAAAGGTTGACCCCTCTCTTCGTCATGCTAAGTTGATTTAGTTATCGCTAGTGACGTTATGGCAAGGTCCCGCCATTGCGAGGATGCGCACAGTCGTGAGGCTTGAAGAGCCACCAAAAGAAAATATACTTGTACAAGTAGAAAAGGGGACAAGCGTGAAAGAAAAGAAGAGGCCCCAAAAAGGAGGATTGGGGGTGGAGAGGAGGGGCGTGGGAAATTAGACACGCCGTCTGCTTGGAAGATTATCTCGCGTAGGCGGGAGCAAGTGCTAACTTTAGTGGGAAAAGCTCAGCTTTCGGGGCTTTCTAGGAGCGAAATAGTCTTGAGCTGCTGTCCGAGGCGGACTAGCCCATTAAGGCGGTGGAAAGTGTGGGCATGGGAGGGTGGGGATATAGAGAGAAAAGAGGGACTCCGAGGTACAGCAATCTTCGTCGAGAGCGAGTACCAGCTTGTATTTTCATTTCAACTGTGAGTGAGGGCCATCAATCGGCCGAGTGAAGGTTCTCGCTAACTCGGTTTTAGTCTGGCCGTAGTCGAGACGCCGGTTTTTCTGACACTGGCCGCCGGTTCCTGCCCCAAGGTTCCCCCGGTCCAGCGCCTTGGATATTAGAGGGGG